TGTACATTAATACAACAATGTACAGTACACAAAATAACTACTACGTAACTTGAATAACGTTTGATCTAATGATTGGATTTTCACGCAAGGATCGTTTTTCGTCATATAAAATAACGATTATTAGCTTTTGAATCTGCCATATTTAGAACTGTTGTGATTTCGCAACTGTTATCCAAAACAGAAAAATGTAACAGTCACGATGAATCAGGGGATAAAGCGCTCGTCTTTCGAACCCCAGTAATGACTTGTCGATTCAAATTCTGCTCCACGATCATACCGACCACAGTGTTGACTATGTAACCGAAATGCGGGTTAGTTGCATCAAAAAGTCCTTCACGAATGTTAGTACGTATTTGTCAATGTATAATCCCAAAAGTTCCCTTGTCTTTAAGATTGGGTTCAGAATTACAAGGCTACAGAGTTGAACATCGATAGTCACATACACAGAAATGTCACAAAATTGTCGATGTCAAGATAAAAAGCGTTTGCGTTCTAGTTTGAGTCCGCCACTGGATTGTCAAGGTTTACAGAAATATGAGAAATCTCCCTAAAGTCACTCGAAAGACTGTAGATCAGTGTTTCCCAACCTTTTTTGTTCCATGCCCCACCTAAGCCTTTCTAAAATTCTTATGTCCCCCTATGTAACATATACATAATTTTTAATATTAAAAAATCGAATTGTGCACTTAAGAAATTGTTAGCGAAACAAAGTAAGTAAATTTTCAGAACATACATCTGAATACATCTTTTCAGAACATACACCAAATTTTAGTTTTTCATACATATAATGAAAAACTAAAATTCAAATTCGAAATAATTTTAAGATTCTCTATACAGATTAAGTCTTTATAAAGATTTTTCTATAATAATTTAATATTTTAATTTAGTGAGATTCTTGCCCTTGATGCTTGCTGCACGTAGATTTTATCTTAGGTTCCAATTTGGTTAGCTTTAGTCTCAAGTCTCCCTGTTAAGTTATATCCAGAAGATTTCTTTTTTTTTTACCAATAAAATCATTTACAGTACTAAATCCACATTCAGCTAAACTTGAAGATGGAATCGGTAACAATAGTTTTTTGCACATTTGATTGAATTTGGGTATTTGTTTTCTGTTTCCTCACGAAGCCATGCCATCACAAATTTCATATTAAATAAAGTTTTAACTGACTCATCATTTTGCATTTCTGCAAGTTTTTCTTGATATATTTGATATATCAGACAAATCCACTAACATGGACTGCAACATCCATGTCGGAAAATAAATTTGTTTTAAATCGGAATACCTTTCTTTTAAATCAGCCGATAGAATTTTCAGATGATAGACAATAACAAGTAAAGCGGTATCATTTACTTCACATTTTTGGAGCCAATGAAACTGTTCAAAGTTTTCGTTGTTAATATATTTTTGACATAACTCAATAAGAGTAATGAAGCCAAATATCTTCGATTTTGCATCAATAAGAGTTTTATTTGTTCCTTGAAGTTTCTTATTTAGTACATTTAGTTTTTCAAAGATATTGGCTAAATAACTCACAAATGCTTTACCATCGACTGTAAACAGATACTTCATTTCAGGTTTGTCGCTTAAAAAATCCCTAAGTCGCATATTATTTATTGACCGCAATTATTTAAGAATTTTGTTTCTTCTTTCGATTTTGTCACCGAAATCTCGCATTGCCTTTAAATGGCCCAGAGCAAAAGGTTTAAACTCATGTCGAGTCCATTTTTGAATTGCCCCCCTTTACAATCAATTTGCCCCCCGGTGGGGCGTGGGCCCCACGTTGGGAAACACTGCTGTAGATGCTATGCAGGCGCTCAAACTGACCCATTTCATAAATGAGCGACTTTTTAAAAGCGTTTAATGATTTTTTTATAAATAGTTAAAGCCAATTAACTTTTTATAGCAAGATAATCTATACAGTTTATCATTGGAGCTTACTCTCAAGATTAAGGGCTCTAAGACTTTGGCTTTTTATTTTCGGTGCCGCCTCCTAGTTGGACATCGAAGTCAAGCATCACTGGTTACGATCCGTAAGCGGGTGGGTGACCCCTTTGATCACCCTATGTAAGGACTGAGGGTGCACGGTATCGGTCCTCGTTAAACTGTTCTACCGTAAAGTGTTCGACTTCTCACGCAGGTAATCGGGCTAGCGAAGCGGGGGTGCCATCCCCTTTGCAGAGGATCAAAATTGTGATGGCATGTCTTCGGATCATCCTCGGGGATGTTTCACAGACCGTCTCTAAACTTCCATAGTGCAACGTAAGTAAAATACAACCTTGGGTGTCGCAAGTGGACTGGTCGTAAGACACGGTTCCTAATATATCACCGAAGACAATCATCACGATCAGTGAGCGGGTGGGTGACCACTTTGATCAGCCTGTGCGCGAAGGGACCGAGGGAGTGCCATATCGGTCATTGTTAAACTGTTCTACCGTAAAGTGCTCGACTTCTCACGGAAGTTGTCGGGTTATTAAAGCAGCGAAGACATCCCCTCTGTAGCGGATCAAAATTGTGACGACCTTAGGATAATCCTCAGGGACATTTCCCAGACTGTCACCAATAGCTCGTTGTGCAGCTCTAGTACGACGTAAATAATGTACTACTATTTTTTTTCTCAGCGAAGGAGTTTGAAGAGCACTCCAACTAGGCAATTTTAATGGTTCAAGGAGTAAATACCTTCAATATGCTAATTGATTTGTGCAAGACAAATAATTTTTTTAAAAAGAAAAACTGAAAATACGTTCCGATTTCACGGGATATTAGTTTGTGGCAGGGCTAAAAAAAGGAGATTTATAAGTACCGTGAAGCTTCTTAAATCGTTAAAAAATGTTAAATAGATCATTAATTCGATTGTGATAAAGCATTTCTATAACATATTGTTGTGAAAGCCAAGTGTAACTATGTATTTTTTTCATCTTTCTTTTATTTAAAAAAAAAAAAAATTATAAATAATAATTGCTCTTCTAAAACGTGTTTTGACTAATGCAACGCTATAAAGTCATCGGGCAGAAACAACAATTAAGTATTAAGTGCCGATACACAGTAAAAATAGTACGAAAAAAAAGGGATTGTAAAAAAATAAATGTAAACTATGTTAAAAGTGTCAATTCCAGAAGAAAAAAAATATTAGCATGGTAAAAAATAGGTCTTACCAAAATAATAGTGTAAAGTCACAGTGAATGGGAACAACAAATAATAAATAAAAAAATGGTAATGATGAACTGTATGGTATGTGCTGATGAAGGAGGACTGTTTGTAGAAAGGCTGAAGAAATAAAATATTTAGTTATTATTGGAAATTCTAAAACTTTTTTTTCTAATGCTTTTTATTCGTGAATTAGACATTGTTGTAAAAGATCACTAAAACAATAATATCGTGCTAGGTTCAATAGCTAAATAGTATAACAAAAATGATGTTTTTTTCCCCAAGGTATCATGTCTCTTTAATGACTACACCGATTTTCTTTTAAGAACAATGGTTACCAACTGGCGGCCCGCGAAGCCTTTTTTTGTGGCCCGCGAACTAAAATATATTAGTTGCCATTTTTTTGTGGACAATTTTTGTAAAAACTCTATATGGGTTCAAGATACTTTTTCTTCGTTAAAAAAAATCTAATTTCTTCGTTTCTGTGAAATTTAACATACTAACAGTGCAAAAAAAATTCTTTCTCAGGTTTTGCATCCAAGAAAATATTTATTCAAATGCGAAAATAATCGTGTATGTTGATCATTTTTATTTCGCTTTTTATTTTTATTTTGTGAATATAATTTAACATGTGTGAATCAGAAATTTTCTCGAAGAAATTCTCCGGTTTAACTTTTTGAAACCACTAATTTTGCGGCTAGAATTTTTTAATATGCAATTAAATATTTTTAAAAATCTACTTCTTATTTTAATTTGTAATTTAATACTTTTGTTTGTACAACTTGATGAAAATTTGACAGTAAATGTTCCTTCAAACATAAAAGTGTCCTATCTAAAATTTTGATAAAGTTGCGGTCCACCATTTGACTGGTGTTTTTTAATTGTGGCCCCCGCCCTCAAGGAAGTTGGAAACCCCTGTTTTAGAATCATGAATTGTAGTCACAGTCATAATTTGCAAATCAGATTTTTAAGAAAACGTTATTAAATTTATAAACCTATTTCATTCGAGAAAATCGAATAATTGCAATCAATCATTAATTTTCTTCTTATACATAATTTGCCATAATTTACTTTGAAAGATTCTCGATATAACGAGAGAATAAAGGGAGTAAAATGAAGGAAGGTAGAAAGTTAATAGATGATATCTATGTTAACGGATCAGACAATAAGTTTGCAAATAAATAAATGAAAAGTTGATCACGTGTAAAGTGACTGTGAATTTGTAGTATGGCAGATGCCAATAATGACAGTGCAGCATTTATTTTTTTTTGTAAAAACACCCACTTGAAAATACACTGAATAATAGCAATATAAAAAAAAAATGAAAGAATGCCATCTTGGATTATATGTGTTCACGAAATAACAATTGTAATTAGCCTAATACATCTAATTCATATATATATATAAATAATTGACTATTTAAAGAAAAAAAATTGTTTTGCTTATTAGCCAAGAACAGAAAAAGTAGTTTATACTTGTTCTAAAAGCTTACATGGCCAAGTATTTGTATTGAACATATAAGATATATTTGACTACATAAGTTTTTATTAAAATAGAACAAGTAGTTTAGCTAAAAAAAAGAATAAAAATAAAGTTTTAATAAGAAAATTATTTATACAAATCAGACTTATTGAGTAAATCTGCGGCAAACTATTTCTATAAAATATTATCTACTATTTCTATATAAATTTATATTGCATTTCCCTTATAAGAAAGTATTCATAGTAATTTTTCATTTGATTTAAGAAAATGATCATGAATTATTTCCAAGAAATGAGACTACCCAATTCCATTCATAATTTGTACCGAATTGAGTAGTCTCATTTCTTGGTATTGAGAAAAGTAATGTACCAAGTTTTTATTAGAAATAAAATTTATTTACATGGTACTTCATATATTTTACAAAAATATATATAAAAAGTTAGCTTTCTGGTGACCAAAGCTTAAAAGTTCTGTCAAATGAAGCGGTGGCTATAAAACGGTCATCGTTTGATATGTCGGCACCCATGACTTTGCCACTGTGACCACACAATGTCTGAATCGGTGTCCATCCAGGATGTGACCAAACCTACAAAATATTTGGAAACAAATTTAATGCTTGACTTCAAGAATTTACACAAAAATCACAAGAAAAATAAATAAATCCCCCTCCCAAAAAAAATATTGTAGTGTGTCCACCACTACAAAAGTTCAATTCCAATTCACTAGTATATAAGACATGTTAACTCAATTCTATATTGGTGTACCTTTCTATAGATGAAGGTTAACATTGTTGATATGACTCTCCCCACAAAAATCAGGGGTCTGTCCAAACATTTTGTGAAAGGTCTGTTCTCGTAAAATTGTGAAAAAATTACTCATAATTTGTGAATATAAAGTAAACGCTAAGTCACATTCTTTCAACTAGGGTCTGGCTTTTGTAAATTTGTGCAAATAGGGTCCTGTTATTGCAAAAAACTTTTTCAAGGAGTTTTTAAATTGTAAAGAGATACAAGATTATGCTCAACACTGGAAAATTATAATAAAAAAAATTAAATTTTAAAAAATAAACAGCAATTGCTGCTACTAAATTAGAGATACAACATACAAATATTTGGAATTTAGCCAGTACAGCTGAAGACAGAATATTCATTTCGTACGAATAAAGGAATAAGCGTTTGACGAAGACAAAACTTAGTTCGTTTACAATTGTCTTTCACCCCCCTTCCCAGGAAGGGCTTATTCGATTAACAAAACAATAATGAAGATAAACAAATTTGTGAAGGGTCCGTTTTTAAGTTAAAATATTTTGTGAAGGGTCTGTTTTTATGAAAAGATATTTTGTGAAGGGTCCGTTAACGGACCCAAATTTCTTCTAAACAGACCCCTGATGAAGGTTGACATTGTTGATATGACTCTCCCCACAAAAATGGTACATTAGTATCGAAACTAAGCTAGTGGTACGTCAAGATCATCTGAATAGTTCTCATTAGAATAACCACAATAACTGAAAGTGATTTCCAGTTCTGAATTGAAGAAAAAAAATATATTTGCAAAAAAAAATGCTTTAAATTTTTTCTTCTTCTTCTTTTGCAATCATGTGCCATAATGATCAAGAGTCAAAGGACTGGAACCTAGTTTCCTATATTCGCTGAGTATTGCAACTGATAAAAAAGTATTCAGTTCTAAAATTATAACTAGTGATAATTATAACAACAATTATAACTAGTGGTTTACAAAATAAAATTTAAAATGATTTGTACTGAACTTAATAAACATACTTACCTAATAATTAAAAGTGATGTAATATAGAGATACTATATTCATTTTAATGCTCGTGAAACGAAAGCATCATTTATAGATAGAAAAATTTATAGCAATGAAAATCTGCAATTTTTAGATTCAGGTAATCCAAGTGGATATCAGTTCTATTTAACTCAGAGACTTTTCAATATTTATGAAATCTATTATTATCTTTATCACTTCCCACTGTTAGAATATTATATCACAAGCAATACTTATACATATATTCAAAATATTATTTTAAACATCTTACCTTTAATGAATTATCATATGACGTTGATATTAAATAATCTCCATGAGTTTCTAAAATCGAAACAAAAACAGCATGAATTAGTTTTGAAATGTCAAATTAGTGATAATAAATGCGTTAGACGGAAAGCATGAACACACAATCATGGTTTCATTTATTTCTGTTTTATGATGACTTTAATACTTCAAAATTTTAAAACAAGATATTCAGCAAATGATTTTTTTTCTATTACTAAAGCCTTATAAAAACTCTGAACTAAAAAAATAACATTTTATATTTCTTACATTCATATTTTTCAATGCATCATCTTTTTTTAAAATTGAGTTTTAAAAAAAAATCATGACATAGTAAATTCATTTCAATGTTAGATCCCCCCCCCCCATCAGAACAATTTTGTCCATCTTCCATTGAAACCAATTTTGTTAAAAATGTTAAGTTACTTTTTTAAAAATTTTTCTCAAAGGCAAAATATTTCCTTCGTCATAATATTTTTAAATTCATTACAAATGAATTAATTCTTTTGAACTAACTAGAGAAAATCAACTAAAATGGGCTAATTTAGTTATAAACTATTATACTTAGAAATGATTGCTTTTTTTCAGAATATTTGAATAGTATATTTAGTCATTTAAAGCATATATATAAATATTTTTAGTAATACCTTCTCCTATTTTTAGTAATATCTGCATAATATTTTTATAATTTTTGAAATTCATTATAAATGAGTAAATTCTTTTGAAAACATGACATTACTAAAGAAAATCTACTAAAAAAGAGTTTACTACTACTAATCTACTAATTTAGTTATAAATTAATTATATTTTAAGATGATTGCTTTTCTTCTGGGTATTTGAATAGTATATTCAGTTATTAAAAATGCATATAAATATTTTTACTAATACTTTATTCTTTATAATATTCTTTTAAATTTTTCTAATTCATTATACTTCAATCAATCCCTTTGACAAGGGGACATCACAAAAGAGAATGTACTAAAATGGGCTAGTTTAGATGAAAAAGAATTATACTTTGAGATGATTGTTTTTTTCTCCTGAATATTTCAATAGTATATTCCATAAAAAGTATATCAGCATTTTTTGAAAAGACATAATCAGAAAAAAAAAATTCTTAAATATGTTTTTTGAAAAATACAAATGTCTTATAGAAAAACTTATTTTGTTTTAAAAAGAAAAGAAACTTGTTTTTAATTTAATAATTATTTTCCCACACATTAAATACCTCAGTAAATAACAGAATTTTTTTTTTCAACACAAAGGGAGTAACAGTTAATTATGCAGGTTATAAGTTAGAATAATAAGTAATGGATTTTAAAAAAGAAAAGAAAAAAAAAAGCAGGGTCATTAGCTTAGACGTATTGTTTGAAATAAAGAAAAGTTTATGTATGTTTTAGATTGATTTATACAGTCATTACATTGTATTAATATGAAATAATGTACATATACATTAACAATATTTTTAATACTTAATTTTGAATAATGCAATTTAGGAAGTTACAATAGTTTATAAAAATGATATTTTTCTAGTGCAATAACATTTTTCAAGCAGATTATAATAAAGATTTACGAAGAATAGCTGTAAAATGAATGGCTAACTTTCTAATAATTATAGCTACAAAATTCTGTTGTCAACAATCAATTTCCAATTTAAAAATTCATATTGATTATAATGTTAAATAAAAAAAAATGAACAGTAGTTTACTTTCAAAGAGCACTCTTGAGACTAGGTTGGTGTGAACAGAAATAGTATATTCACATTTCTGTCTCCGCAAATCCCATATCTTTGTAGTATTGTCAGCACTGCCTGTTGCCACCTGATACCTTAAAACAGAGATTCAATAACTTTAAAATAATTTTAAAATATTCAAATGCTCATGTAGTAACCAGTTTTTTCTTTTTCTATTTTTTTTTAAAAATATATAACCAATAACTCAATAATTATCTACTTAAATTAACTGAGTTTAATGGCCTAGTAAATGTTTGGTTATTTATAGGCAAGGTTTATTGAATTAATTACTTTTTATCAGTTGAAATTAAAGTAGTCAACAGTAAATGCTAAAAAACATAGAAACAGAATATCTACCAGAGGTAGACTACTTGATAGAAATTCTAACATCATTAGCTCGTACATTGCTATATTTTATTAAGACCTAATAGAGTAAGAAAATGAAATGTTTTACTTTAACTTTGGACTTTTCTGAGAATATGACTCTAACTTTACTCCATTAAAATTTTTACCAAATCTTAAGAAAGTTTTAACATTATTACATGTATGATTAAAATGAGAGAGTTGCCATTTAAAATAGTATTTTATGCTCAGATGTAACAGCTGAAGAAATAAATGCTAACAAACATATTTTTACAAAACATTCAAAATGTACAATATTACTATAAAAGTTCAAGATACAAATATATCAGATGAACACTGGCATATATATAAACACTTTATTCAAAAAAATTGTTTAGTGAGTATTCATGTACTAAGAAACTGTTACAAATGATACAAATTCATTTGAATTAATTCTACAATTTAGCTACGTAAATTTGTTTTTAGAATTTATGAATCAATAAGCTTAAAATATAAAAATGCGATAAATTGTCATAATATTCCTTTCACTATCATTTTTTTCACATCATTATACAGCGAAACCCCCTGGAAAGACCACCTCTGTGTAGCGATCTCATCAATTCAAGACCAATTTTGGGAAGCACACAATTTTTTCCATAGATTTTGTGTTAAAAAAACCTTTAGGAGAGACTATCAAAACCTCTTCCATAGACCAGGTAAATCAAAAGCAGAAAAATTTAAATGAGGAAACACGCGAAAAATAAGAGAACAAAAAATATTAACAAAACAAATCATTAGATTTAAATGCATTCAAAATAATTGTGATTGACTCTTAATTAGAGAGCTCAATTTGACGATCTCTGATAATTATCGACAACCTCATGTTGCAGTCAGAGTGCGCTAAAAATGATGCTATCAATCATTTTTTTAGAGCTAAAACTAAGATTTAAAAAATAATATTTTAGAAAAAAACTAAGCATCTCAAACAAGCAAAGCTCTTCTTATTTTTCAAAGCTTACTAATTTTTAATTACACCCCTTAATTTTAGTTGAAGAGGGTGAAAGGAATAAATAAAATGATTTAATATAAAACTTAATTTAAAATTGTACTATCTCTTACCCATTTGGTGAAAAGCAAACAGACAGCACAGAATTTTGATGACCAGCTAAAAACATGATACACCTCCCAGTTCTCAAGTCCCAAATGCGACCAAACGCATCCATTCCCCTAATAAGTAAATATGTACAGAATAAGCAAAATTGCAACTTATTTAATCAACTTCACAAATAACTAAAATACAATTGCTGATTTCAATATTTCAAAAATTATAAAAACCATAATTTATGTTGAAATATTATTAGAAAATATTTCATGGATTGAACTCATAATAACACATTTTCCTTTTTAAATTTGATTCCAAAAATGAAACTGGCACAGTATACTCTCGAAAACCTTGTTATGTCAACCTAATGTTAAATTGAATTCCTATGTCGAAGGGTTTCTTCTCAAAACCTTGCTATGCTGAATTTTTTTCGAAATAGAAAATTAATTTTTTCACAAAAATCACATAGTAAGTTCCTTGTAAAGCGATTCTTGTCTATTTAATGTATAATTATTTACGTCTAAACTTTTAAAATAAAATTATCTATGTCTTATTTAGACTTATAGTCAATTATCATGACATGCATATTTAATAGCAGTCATTCTTATGTTTCATGACTCTACTTTTTAGAGCACATTCAGGGGTCTGTTTAGAAGGTCTGTTTAGGGGTCTGTTTGTGAAGGATCCGTTAACGGACCCTTCACAAATTATCTTTTCATGAAAACGGACCCTTCACAAAATATTTTAGCTTAAAAACGGACCCTTCACAAAATATTTTGACTTAAAAACGGACCCTTCATAAAATGATTTTTCTTTTAATCGATCCTTTCACAAATTTGTTTATCTTCATTATTATTTTGTTAATCGAATAAACCCTTTCCAGGGCAGAAAACAAGAAAGATGGATGCAAACGAATTAAGTTTTGTCTTCGGCAGATGATTCTTCCATTATTCGTCCGAAATGAATATTCTACGCTCAGAAGTATAGGCTAAATACCAAATATTTGTATGTTGCATCTCTAATTTAGAAGCAGCAATTGTTGTTTATTTCTTAAAATTAAATTTTTTTAATTATAATTTTACAGTGTTGAGCATAATCTTGTATGTCTTTACAATTTAAAAACTCCTTGAAAATTTTTTTTTTGCAATAACGAACCCTATTTGCACAAATTCATAAAAGCGGACCCTGGTTGAAGGAATGTGAGTAATTTTTTCACAATTTCACGAAAAACGGACCTTTCACAAAATGTCTGGACAGACCCCTGACATTTAGTTCTGAACTTGTTACCTCAAATTCTTTTGAGCGGCCCTTCAACTTTGAGAGTATACTGTAATAAAATGGTAAGTCATTAAATGTGATTCAAACTCTAAATGTTTCAACTCAGAAAATAAAGTTAATAAATAAATACATAAACACACAAAAAAGCAAAAGTATACTACAAAAAAAAACTATTCATTGCATAGAATTGTGTTTTATATAAATACATTTTGTAAACAGATTGCAATTTTTTATTCATGTAAATAGTTCTGTTCCATTAACATAGCAAAACTTGAGAGAAAAAATAGTGCTTGAAGAATAATAAAAATTTTCCAACCCTGTAGCTAATAGAGAACCATCACATTGAAAACTCGCATCATATACTGGTTTGCTGTGACCCTCTTGGTGAAGTATTTCTTCTTTTACTTCCAAATCCCACAACCTCCAAGAATTATCAAATCTGAAATATAAGGACATAGTGATTTTAAAAGACCACTGCTCTAAAAATAATTGCAACTTCTATTATAATATTTAATGATAATAAAACAATCTTAAAGTACATATGTGTGTTAATTTTATTGTTTTTTGTTAAATAAATTGCAAAATAAAAGAGATATATGAGGCTGATGTCTAAGGTGTTACACAACTAATGGACACAACTATGAAGGATGATATAATATGTGAAATTTTTTTAACGTACAGTGAAACCTTTCAAATTTCCCTAAGAAGTTAAATTGGTTAGGAGTGTTATTAAATTCCAAACTAAACCATTCATAATTGGAATTTTTTAAGAAATTTTTTATTTTATGTATTAAAATTTTATTGAATTAATAAAATAATATTAAAAGCTAACCTAACACCTTTTGTGAGTTGACCATAAGGGAAAACTATTCAGGTTACTTTTTTAACAAATAGGCTAGAAACAACAATGCTATACTTTAACATACTTGGGATTTTATGTTAATTGAAAAAAACCAACAGATAAAAACAGCATATTTCAGAAAAAAAATTATTAAAAATTACAAAAGTCTACAGGATTCAATCAAAATATGATAAAAATTGAAATTCAATAAGTTAAATAAGTAAATATTTCGTTTAAACATTTAACTTACACACAAGTGACTAGAAATCGACCAGAAGGGTGGAATATAATTCTAGATACCCGGTGAGGAGCATGGCCTTCTAAATCAGCTATGGGTTCATCACTGAAAAAAAATAAATTATAGAAATGTAAGCAAATTAAATCTTTAACCTCTATACATAGTAGAAAATTCTGCATTGTTTACTCATAGACAAAAGACAAATCAGCAAAATATGAAAAATTGACAGTTTGTTCGTATGTATGATTATTATTTATTAGGATTGGTTGAATGTAATTTTTTGGTGCACAAAATAGGTTCTTAGTTTAATTTGATTTCTTTACTATGAAAGACAAATATTTAGCATTCACCATGCATAATTAATAATAAGTAAGACAATAAGCCAGCAGGGATATAAGAACCATTGCTTGAAAAACACTAGGGTGCCTCATTTTTCAAATTTTTTTTCTGAAATAAATGTAACACCCAGAAAAAAAAAGCCATTACACATGGATATAAATTTTTGTAACATCAAATAATATCTTTCTTGGGGAGTGCTGTCGCACTAAATTTGTAAATAATTTTAGTTAGGTAAAACTTGTTACATATTTGAGTTGGGAAATGTCTCTAAAGGCTTATTCCTCAAAATTGAAGTTAAATATCATTAAGGGGAAACATCTTTATAAGAATCTAGGATATCTATAAGAAATTTTCAGTTTTATCACTTTATAAAATTAACCTAAATAAACATAACCATTTCTAAAACTTAGTAGGCATTAAGCTTATTCCCTGCTGTGCACATTTAGTCTAATCTCTTACATTTTATTCAGTTTATCCCATTGTCTTGAAAAAGATTGATTTCTTCTTAAAAAATTAACCCAAACTTGAACTAAAATGACTTAATATCTACTTTATATTACACAATAAAAACCTTTTAGCATAAATCTTTTTAAAGCTACAATATTATTCGTCAACTAGGTAATTATAGTTTTTTTTGAAATATTGCTTTTGGAACTGATATATTTCAAGTTGTAAGTTCATTTTTGAAAATGTATGATAGTTATATTGCTCTCAGAACTGTAAGCAAGACAAATCATGGTTATATGCTTAAAAAGCGACAAAAAATTATAAATACCCTGATTTTGAGTATTTGTCTCAGACAGCGGAAAGTAGTTGGTAGTATATTTATAAAGACCCTATGCACTGGGTATTTACCTGACTCATATCTATATGAGACGATCTATTAAACGTTTGCCCAAAATCCTCTATACTGATGCTTTTTTTTATAAAAATTATTATTTGATTTTTTCTACTGACATTGAACATTATTATTAATAAATATTGATAAAATTTATTATTAATAATTGATAATAATCATCATAAAAAGTATTAATGATATCAATAATGAACATTATTAATAATAAGCACAAGAGAAAGTAAAATGAGTGTTTCCCAAAAAAATATTTATATGAATATGTATTATATATATTTAAAATATATATAGAATAATGCACTATGTATATAGAAAATGTAAATGCCCAAAAAACATTTGTCATTTTATACAATGCCCAGAAAAAGCATGTAATAATTTTCATGTTTCATACTTTGCCTTAAAATATTGCATTCAATTAAAATATTGTATTCAGGCTTTGTATTTTCTACAATGTAGGCAACATATATAAAACACTTAAAATCATATAAGACATTTGAAGCACTTTTATTTTAACTGAAGAAAGTAAGAGCAGTACCTTTTTAGATCCCAAAGTTTAACTGTGCCATCTGTAGAGCATGAAGCCATGTTGACACTTGTATCTGATTGGGTCAAAGTTGCTTCAGGATGAAACACTATGGCACCAACATTACAATTGTGACCTATAATAGACGGAAGAAGAAAAAAAAATTCCTTTGAAGTACATTAAACATCTTTAACAAACAACCCTACCCAGAAAAATTTTATGGGTACACCACCTTCCCACTGCCTATTTCTCTGCCAAGAAAAAAAAGAAATAGTTTTTAAAGTAAAACATGCAGTTTTTTAAATTTTTTTTTTTTTATACTGAGCATAGTCAGGATCATACACTGCCTTGTTTTAAAATATAAATGCAAAATATCAAAATAAATATCTCCAGTGTCAACATCCTTAAATGTCTAGATTTCAAAAATCCATATTTAAAAAATCTATATTCAAAAATTAATAAATAAATAATTTGTTTAAAAACAACAAGGCCTACATAAAGCACAATAAATTATAAGCAAAAAAAAGAGAGAGACAAATAGCATGAACAGTGCAGAGGAATAAAACAGAGCAGGAATTTTAAAAATAAGGAAGAGGAATATAAAAGGGCAGGGCACTATAAGTTTTTTAAAGGGCATTCATTAAAGTCCATAAAAATTTATCAAAATGTGTAATATTATGCAATAACTGAATTTGATTCTCACCAATTTTTAAGTTACCCTCTTATACTATTTTATATGTATATTTCAAAAAATAATTATCTCTTATTATCAGAATAAGAGAAAAATTTGTAGTTTATAAAAATAATTGAAAACATGCTAACAGATAATCTCTGGGCAAAATTTTATTTAAAAAAGTAAACAAAAAGAATTTATTAATTTATAAACAACTTGAAGGATCGTCATGCAATTTAAACTGAAAATTAGGAGAAAATAAGCCTTTTTTTAAAATAAATAAGTTGAAAATAAGCCTTTTTTTTTAAAAAAAAGTTTTTTTATTTAAAAAAAAAAAACTAAGACCATTAAAAATTTGTTAATATATCACCCCGAAAAAAGAGATACTTATAAAAGTTGAAGAATAATCCTAACAAAGTAAATATTTGCAATAGTAATCAGAATTAAACCTATAAACACATACAATTTTACCAGTGAGTAATTATTATTTAAACAGTGAATTATTTTTCCTTGAAAATGGAATGTGAATAAAAAGGTAGGGTTTCTAAGGGATGGGTGACTTATTTTTACAAAACCGACAACGAGGGCGCATTTATAGAGATCAAAGGGCAGGCAGGGAGGAACACCCTTCTAAAAATGTTTAGAAAGAACACTGAACAGACTTTGAGGAAATTAAATAAACAATAATGATTAAATGTGACACAAAATCTCCAAAAAGATTTGAAGAAGAACATTTTTAGATTTTAATTTATTTTTCAGTTCTCGCTTGGAGAATATTTATAACTATAAATAAAGTTCCAAATATAAATATGCATCATGTGCACAATTAAATTTATTTAAAAACACTTATATAACATGTTCACTATGAATAATTTTTATTAAAAAAAATTTACACAGATAATAAATACCTCTAAGAGTCCTAATTAATTCACAATCTGGAACTGACCATAGTTTACAGAGACCACTCCTAATGGGGAAAAAAAATACAAATGAAATATCAAAAGGCATCCCACATATCCAAAGGCATCCCCCTTTAAGCATTAGTTACAATTTTTTTTTTTCTTTTTACATTATGCTGTGGAAGCTTATTTGCAAAAAGTGTTTCTTGAAGGAAAAGTTTCGTATAATTTTACCTAGAATTCAAATACTTACAGGATCAAAGTATGCATTGATAAATAAAATAAATATATAAAACAATAACTTTAACTTAATCAATTTCAGTCATTTAAAGTCATTATGAACTTTCAAAGGTTTTATTGAAATCGTTTTTGACAATAAAGGTCTATTATAATTTTAAAGCTTTACAATCAAAGTTTTTAAAAGTGCTGTACAAGAAAATTACTTATCAATTAGATACTTGCAGCATTAAATTATTAAAAGTGTCTATTCGAATTACAACAAAATTTGTACTACTGACTAAAGGGCAATTCATTCATTCACAAATGTCATGTTTACAGACTTTAAAAAAAGCATAAGACTCAGCTTAAAAAAAGCTCTAAGAATTTTTGCTGAAAAAACTCTTGGTGTATTTTAACCTTACTTTAATTTTTGGTTACTTTTATAAGATTAAAAAATTTTAAAAAAATTAAAAACTGGGTCTTATGGATATAACACAATATAATACATTTCTAACAGCCAGTCTTAAACTTAAAAATTTAAATTTCAAAAAGTTTTTAAAAATAAAAGAAAGTATAAATAACATAACATGAACAGCAGCAGTTTGTAATTTAATTTCTTTCACAACAACATAATTTTTTTTTTACAAATTTTTTATTTAAAAAGATATATAAATAGATAAGTTCAAGCAATCAGCAAAATGCTTACAAAGTCACTATTATTCCAAAAGAAACCAAACTAAAATTGTTTTGTTTATCACAGATATGGGCAATTTTAAATGAAAATAGGACCATCATTTTTAAAGCTAGGAATATGTAAATTCGAAAATGAACATTTCATATTCATAACGTTTTGAAGTGTTAGCATATAAAGTTTTATAGCAGGATGAAAAGGCTGATTTCAATGAGTTATAACACAGTAGAGAGTCAAAAACATTTTACAGAAGTGTGCATTTTTTTGAACATGCACAAAATAAACAATATGATATTTTTTCCAAAAAGGAAAAAAAAGAAGAAGAAAAAAAGAAAGAAGCATTAAATTTGTTGACTTACCATGATGCAGTGGCTAACATTTTAGAATCAGGACTGAATTGGCAAAAGGAGAGAGGTCTTTTGTCACCAATTTGACTGCAGTTTATGTTTAAAGACTAAAAATATAAGCCATAATTACAATAAACATTACACAAAAAAGTCTTCTTTTTAACCTAAGTTATTAAGATTATGGAACCAAGAGAATGCAATTAAATATAAGGTTACAATTTCTTAATACTGGGTGTTGATAAAACTTTTATACATTGTAGGGACACTAGCCAAAAATATGTGATTTTGGGTTTTAGAGACATTAAGGGTGAAGTTCATGTGACTAAATCTCATTGAAAAGAGCAATGATATACAAATAAAAGATGAAAATTAAAAACAGTTAAAGTTATTTTATATAAATGTATCAAGGAAAAAAACTATCTACTGCACTTTTTTACAAAAACAGAAGATACTGCATTACTATGCTAACAAAATTCATCAAACAAATGGAATGCATTCTATATCTATGACTGAGCAAGACAATAAAAAAAAAAAAATGCTTGGGCTAACTTTTTTTCTCTTTAAAATAAAATGATCTGACTAGTCCTGCAAAGCAGAGGTAAAGATGATTTTAATTTACTGTATCTTTAAAATAATCATTAAAAACACACAATGATTAAGATAATTTGCAATGACTTTAAAGAGATTTTGAATAGCAGAAATGAAATCAGAATCACTTTAAGGGAATAAAATTATTTTATACAACGTCATAAAAAGCTTTAAAGGCAAAGAAGCAATATGGAAAAAGTGGGATGTAATAACTTTATCAAAAATCTAAAATCTGTCCCAAAAATCTTAGTTTGGATTTTTGATTTTTAAACATAATTTAGAAATTTTCGATATAACATGATTCAAAATGTTCAGCATACCCTCAATTTCTTGTACTGTTCCTGTTTCTTAGCATTCTTTAGTGAATCTGGTTCTTGTTGATCTGTTCTTGCAACTGCAAGTCTTTCTTTAGCTCTAAAATGAAAACCATAATAAAATATTGTAACAGTCAAGAATTTTTCGCAACTAAATAAATAAGAAAGGGAGTAATTAATCCTCTTATTTGCACAGTAAATATATGAAGTTCAAAAAGCCATAAATAACACTTTTCAAGTATGACCTTCATTACAACAACCTTATCATTATAAGTAATAATGATAAAGAAAAGGTAACTCTATTGATGCAATGTTATTTAAATATTATAATATTGTTATTTCCTATTTCCAAAAAGAATCTCTTCCAAACAAGACTTAAACAGCAAGTAAAGAACAAGAATTAATATTGTGCACCCAAAAAATAAATAAATAAATTAATAAAATAAAATAAATAAATGGTTGCATAGCATTGTTTTATTTCTAAAGGTTAAAGTAAGTTTTTAGAAGTAATTTTTCTTTTGATGTTCACAAACAATGAACTAAAAGCATTTAAAATTGTTCCTAAAATAAATAAAGATTGACATAACACTTCTAGAATCTTATTCTGTTAAGAAGACTATAAAATATCCATGACATAGCATCCAAATTAACAAAGCTATTGTAATTAATTTTATTGGTTAATTTTATAGGGTGAAAATTTTAGCATCATCTGCAGAAATAATCAGGATATTCTATATGCGTTTAATAAATTAAAACTACATTCACAATCTTAGTACATTTCTTTTCAAAGGAAGAAATAAACGTTTGTTGCCATGCCCCCTTAGAAGTCGGCTGACATTTATAACACCCTCTTTTTTTAAGATTGGAAAAAACAATACATTGTTCCAAGTGAAAGCAATAGAAAACTTGAATATATGCTAAATTACACCTAATTTTAATTTAAATTAAAATGCAATTATTGCAGCAATTTTATGTATCTGGATAGTTAAAAACGTTAACGCAAAACGGATAATTAATATAATTTGGAAAATTGAAAACATTAACAACTAAAATGTGAGAAAAAAACTGAAAATTTCAGAACTGAATTGTTCATTTTTCAATGACTGCCTTGTGCTTGGTGGATTTCAGTTAAAGCTTGAATATCAGTCTTTTTATTCGTCAAATTTAATCTCAGGTCTCCTTTGAAGTAAATGTCCAACCAACCTCTTTGTTTTGTGAGAAGCTGGACGACCGAACTAAATCTTCTTTATACTAAATACGTTGACGGGCAAAGATGAGGTGCGATTCACTGGCTTTCCTTATTGATATTAATTGCAATTTTTTTCCCTTTGAGTATTCATCACCACCGGAGGATTATTGCCCCTAGGTTGGAAACCCCTGGTCTATACAGAAATATAATGTATAATGAAATATATAAATAGAATGTCTTAATATTTGTCTGGTCCAAACTACTCACCTTGGAATGGAATAGGCAGCAATCCACTGTCTAGCTTTTAGCAAATTTTGGGTGCCTTCATGATACCAAGTTTTTTCAGTCTACAATGAGAAAGAGCATCTACATAAAATTACTACAGTGAAACATCTCAGAAGCGACCACTCTCTCTCTATTCCACAGTGAAATGGTCGTTCATGGAGGGTGGTCGTTCTTAGGGGTTATCCCATATGTGACTTCCAAATGTTATCAAAGGTACATGATTTTTTTCGTAAATGATTTTAACTTTAGTCACTGTCATTTCTTTGGTGCTGAAATGCCACTTGTGTGGGCGCCAGGAAAACCGTCAATAAAAATGATATCTACTGATATAATTATGTGTAAAAACAAATTAAATTATGAACGATAGAACTATTTTAAATAAATAAACAATTATGCTTTTTGTTGAAGTTTGCATTTAATTTTATATCATAAAAATTAGTTAGTTTTAAAAATGAGAAGAGGTTTGTTTGTTTTAGATGCTTATTTTTTTCTTAAATAACTTTTTTTTTTAAAAAAAATTCAACTCTAAAAATAAATTATTGATAGCATGGTTTTCAGCACTGCAACATGAAGTTGTAGATTCCTTTCAGAGCTCTCTAAAAAGGAGTCTTACACAAATATTTTCAATACATTTTAATCTACTTATTTGTTTTGTTAATATATTTTGTTTCAATTTTTTTTTTTTTTTCTTGTGTTTCCTTATTTGACCTTTTTTTTTTTCATTTGGTGCAGAGGTCTGCCCGGCTGTTGGGAGAGGTTTTGATGGTTTCTCCTAAAGGGTTTTTTCAACACAAAGTCTATGGAAAAAATTGCATGCCTCCTAAAAATGGTCGTAAATAGAGGAGGTCGCTATATATAAGTGGTTTTTCCTGGAGGTTTAACTGTACTAAACAATTCTCTAAAAATTCAACATCAAAATTCAAAAAAAAAAATTCTAAAGTAAAATGTTTTAATTAAATTGGATAAATATATGAAAATATATCTGTCTGCAGAATAATTTACTACATTGGTGCCTATTTGTGTATCTCTTCATTGGAGTAGATACAATCTATTAAAAACAGAAACTTAAGTTTAAAATAAGATTAAAAACACAAGCTTCTAAAGTAAAATGGATTTAAGTTTTTTTTAGATGCAATTTGTTTATTAAAAGTGCATAGAATTTAAAAACATTGGCAATATTAAATTATTCTCCCCCCAATAAATAAAAATTAAATTTGTTTCATTAAAATGGGAAAATATACAAAATTATGCAAGCGGAAATAGTAAATTTTGAGACATTATATATTCCAATTTTTAAAATTTGTAAACTTGTTTAATTAAAAAAATTTTTAAAAAAAATGCTTCTTCTTAGTCTGCACAAAGAACATTTTTAAGAAATTAAAAAAATAATCCTCATAAAAAGTTTTCGAAAAAAACCCTCACAAAAATTAAAATTCTGACAATTCAAATTTCTTTAAATTTTTGATATGGCATGAAATTTTTACTTTTCTTTCCAAAGATATTTTAAAAGTCTGTATAAAAATCTCTTTAAATTTAAAAAAAAGAAAAGAAATTTTTTGATCACATAACTAAAAACTCATCATCTGAAGAATTTTGCAACTGCTAGCTTAATTTAAACAATTTTCATATCAAATCACTTTGCTGGCTGGATTTGGTTGGCCCATAACATATTGTGCATTGACTTAACTGTTCATCCAAGAGACAATTATATTTTAGTATGTATAAATTTCTAAAGTTCATAATATAGTAGAATCAATTAAAAACAATGCTTTATAGACTATAATACTTAACAACAAATTTTGAATTTCTGTATATTTACAAATGAATTGCACTTCAAACTTCTCCACTTGTTATAGTAAATAAAATTAAAATTTAATTAATAAAATGAAATTAAAATTTTTTATACAGATGCAATTAACAAAATTACTTGAATTTTTTGTGAAACACAAAACTTTTACAAGCTACAAAAAAGATGGAAATAATTACTTAATTTATTTAAGGTACTCATATTTTCGGAAGACAGTTGAATAATTACTTTCATACGAATATTTCTTTTGAGACAAAAGAAAATTGAAATGTTTTCCAAATGGAAATACATACTAGTTTTTCCTTAATTTCTTCTTTCTTTTCTTCTTCTTGTTGCTTTTTAAGAGCATCTTCACCTAGCTTAGCCAAAATTTGTCTCAATCTTTCTCGACGCTCGGCAGGCCCTTCACCAAATAAACCTAAAGAATATAAAAACTTCAGAAATAATGTCCTAATGACATATCATTTATAAAGTTAAAAAGTAAGTGATAAAGATAATGTTTTATTTCCAAAAAAATTTATTAAATAACAAGTTGTTTTTTAATTGTCCAAATGTAAAACATTCAACAGTCAAACCTTCATACCTTAAACTTGATAGGAGAAATGAAAAAAATCATTATCAACTTTTAATTTTTTTATTTTATTTATTTTTTTTTACATTTTTCTAAAAAGTAATTTATTTCTACTAAAATAAAGTATAACACAATATTATTTTTAAAAAAATCCTTAGCTGTTAACATACCAATGTCACTTTCTAAGTGGATAATAGCATTAAATAAGTAATCAGGCATATTTGACCATAATTGCTTTATTTTATGATTAATATCTTTTGAACAGTTGAACTAAAGTCCAGTGCTTTAAAATCTTGATTTTTAAAAGCACTTTTTAAAAATGCTACACACCCTGTTTATTAAAGGTGATTGAAATATTAGTACAGGAAAAGTTAATTATTAAAATTTAAAAAAAATTTCAATAAGAAAAAAGGATCTTATGTTTCAAACAATTAAATAACATTCTCACATAATGGTTCTCCAATCTGTCGTAGATTTGCTTTAACTTCAAAATCATCAGTGGATACATTTATTTGACGAGCCTGTAATAAATTAAATTTTAAAAAAAAGATAAAGTGCACATTCAACTTACTTTAATTAAATCATGAATGATTCTCTGTAAAAATGTTAGATATAATAGAATCAGAATAACAGGGTTGTGTTAAGATTGAGAGTGTATCCATTAATAGGTTTTTCAGATGCTAAGCTTTTCCTAAACCCCATACCCAATTTTAAAAAAATTAAAAAAATAAATTATTTGTTTTCATAAAATATAGTTGTATTCAGGAGTAATATATTTTTCCCCTTTTAAATTGCATGAAGTTAAAATTAAATACATTCTTAAAACTGAATCTCAGCTTTAATAAAAATAAGTTTTAAGTTGATTCACTTAAATTAAGGCTGAATAAGCTAGCTTTTGTTGTTAGCAATGTGAATCACAAATTATCATAAATAATGATTCATGTTTTTAGAGTAAAAATAATTTGAAATGCTTTCAAAATAAAACTTTCACTATAGTACAGATTAAGATTCCCTGGAGTTAAGCAGAGGCTACAATTGAAAGAGCATTCATATAATATACAATAGACATTATCAAGATGTTCTTCAAAATAAAGACTTAAATCCATAAAAAAAAATTTAAAAATACTTTTTTTCTTCTCTCAAATTCTTCCAATAAAAGTTGTTTCTCTTTGTTCATTTCTTCCTCCAGCTCCATGTATTCTGAAAACAAAAATAATCTGCTTCAAATGGTGTTTTTGAATTTTAAAATAAAAGAAAAAGTTAGATTGATGTTGATATGAATAAAAAGTTTTCAGGAGGAAAATAACTGTCAAAGAATCTATGTGTAGGAAAATGTATTATAATCTATAACAACAAAATGTAGAGTTAGTATGACTTATGTTCCTCAGTTTATGTATGATTTTGTAGTGTTTTGTTCAGTAATGAGAAATGATACTGAATGCCATGAGAAATAATACTGAATCCAATTAACATCTTATTTTGATGGTATGAATTATTAAAAATGTGTTTCGCTTAATCTAATAATGTAAAGACACCACAAGGACAATAATAATAATTTTAAAAAATTGGAATTATTTTAGCTTTATTAATTGCATTAGTTATGCTCCTCAGTTTATGCATGATTTTGTACTGTTTTGTTCAGTTCTGCTTTAGTGCTTGTTAATTTTTTTTTGTTGCTCGATATTCATATGGAGTATTTAGTTACCTAAATAATGTAATAAAAACATAGGAAACAAAGGTGTAAAAATATATAACTCGTAAATTTTTTTTATTTTATTTAATAAGACTTTCTTAAATAAAATTTTCCCCATTTTTTACTTTAACTGAATTATTGGATAAAAAGAACAAACATTGAAGGTTTTAAAGTTATCATCATAGCTAAAATGCTGATGATAAATGAATTATTATTAATATTATTTTTTTCACATATTCATTTATTTATTAAATTTTTTTTTGCCTCTACAGGGCATTATTTATAGTTTCTACGGTCATATTTTTCACTTCTTACATTCAGTTTTTTTTTACTTTCATAATAATTTTTTTATGAAATGTGAAAGGTATTTTGCAATAAGTGCTTTTTGCTAGTACTTTAATTTTTTTCTTCATAGGCTAGTATAAAGTTAATATTGAATCTTGGTATTTTAAACACCCTTCCAAAGTGTTTATGTTGACCAGAGTTTTTCCAAATAAAAAATTTGGTTTCGGACAATAAGCAATCTTTAACTTTAAGAATATTAAAAAACATAATACAATGCAATTTTAATGTTTTAGTAGGTTGTAATTATAAAATGATAATTCTTATTCGGTTTTATCAGATATTTATTTACATTTTATTTTATTTATAAATTACATAACTTTTTTAATAATCATGTTTATAAATTCAAGTAACGATTTACATCATTAAAAAAATGCTAAACTTTTGATTGACACTATTTTTTATTTTAAAGGAATTTTTGATGGCTTCTAATATATATATATATATATATATATATAATCTTTAATTAAGCTTTTTTGCATCTTTTAAGGTCATTTTTTAAGAAATTTTACATCATCAGCAACCAAGCCTGTTCATTATGAATTTATAGCTCTCTCTAGAAATAGAAAAAGGCAAGGTAATTATATCTAATAAAGGACAACATCAGTTTTTGGAAAACTTAACTCTACACTTATTTATAGCAAAATTTTAAATGAAAGCTTAAAAGAAAATCAAATTTAATGCTAAAGATTAATAAAGCAAAGCAAAATCTAGATTAAGCTACATAAATAAATCTATAAAATATCAACAAAAAAACATTTAATTTCATGAAAACAAATATGAAAAAAAAATTATAAATATTTGATCAGAAAATCAAAACTAATTTAATTAAAAATTAAGATAAATCACAGTATTCAATACCAAGTTAATATTAAATTAAAATATTACAATTAAAAACTTTTTAGTATTTGAACTACAGTAAATCTATTTTTATATGTCACAATGTAAATAGCACTATGCAAGACAGGAACTAAAAAAAATCTTCATCTTATTTAGAAAATAAATAAATAAATAAACTGAAAAAAAATGAGATAAGATAAACAGTAAATGAGTTATATTTGTATGTAATACATATTTTTGGTTTCAATTTTTAAAAATTTTTATGTTGGAAAAGTAAATACACTTGTCTAGTGCAAGGGCATCTCAGTTGTTCAATTTTTGTATTAGACAGAATTGAAATATACAGTAAGCAATAGTCCTAAAACATTCACAATAATTTTTTTTCTCTATTAGCTAAATATTTGCAAAGTGATAAATTTTTTTTAATTACTTGGTACTTTCTAAACGTAGCTAAATTTAAATTAATGATGACTACTGAAAGAATTTTTTGTTTATTTGAAAATTAATTGAAACTTTTTGAGATTTCTGATTGAGGGAAACATATTTACCTATCAAATCCCTTCGTTTGGAGTCAACTTACTGTAGCACAACATTTCGTAGTCCTGAGCATTTAATGTAATCCTATTTAATTGTATTTTGATTAAATCAAAACGAGTGTATGGTTGCTATATTTTATGAGTGCATGAGTGCACAAACAATGTTTCTAAGAAATTTTAAAAAAAATTGATTCTTTTTTATACAATGTTTTACACGGTTCCCACTCAATTTCAGAAAAAAAGAAAAAAAAATGCCCGACTATTCCAGGTATATCAGGTAAATTTCAATGAAAATAAGAACCATATTTTATCAATACAATGCAATTTTTTATCAGAAAACTTTGATTTTTTAAAATTTATAATGCCAAATAATAGATTTTGTGAGAAAAAAAAATACTATTGAATGATGATGGAGACATGGCAGTTTTACTAAAATGTGAAATTTTTCCAACAAAATTTTTTAATCGATGTTAGAATTATTCAACTCAAATCTCAATAACTAGTTACTGTTATTGGCATTTCTAAAATTGGTCATTTTTCAGGTACGATGCAGGAAGTTTCCAGGTTTCTGTAAAAAAATTGCCACTTTCCCAGACTACTACCTGCTTTTTAGAGTCAAAATAAAATTCCCTGGCAATTCCAGGTTTCTCTTGTTCTCCCTGTCTCACAGGAACCTTGTTTTAGTAAAAATTAATGAGCTATTGTCAGACTAAGGACATTACAGAAGAAAATTGGGAGGAAATAATTCATACTTTTCTTACTACAACAAAATTAACCATAGATGTTGAACATAAAATACTTCATTTGTGACACTTTGTGATAAAATTTCTATGATAAATTTGCTCACACAAGGTCGTCACTGCATTAATTGAATAACAAGTAAAACGCCTCACCCCATTTGGGTATTTTTGGGTTCAATTATGAATGATAGATTTACCTCAAAGGGACATAATTTGTAATTTAATATCATAGCATTAAATGGAGAACAAATGTTGAAAATTAAGTGAAGTAAATCATTCCTGCAATAGCCTGCTGATGTAAGTTAAGGCTTCACAATTTTGTGATCTAGGGCATAATTGTGGCAATGTGATCAGCACTGCCCACAATGCTGCTTTCATTTTCCAGACAAGCTAGCACCCATTGATCTGTTGTCTTCAAGCCGCTATTGTGGTTCGAACCTCAATGACAACTTCAGACATGCCACAGCAGTTTCAGTAAAAAAGTTACTTTGCGTGCAACAAAATTTCAGAAACCGAAATCAATTTCAACCGAAATTTCAAAATTAAAAATTTAACTGTAATAAAAAAAACTTTAAAGAATTATTACATTAAATAAAACATTAATAAAAAAAAATATTAATTAAATACAAAATTTTGAGTTAATTCACTTTAAATTTTAAGATTATTCTATTAGTAGTTTCTAAATGCCACTACTTGTTAAAATCTCCATTGGAATAATTTCTTGTTCAGGAACGAATCTGAAAATTTTAATATAATTTTAAAAATTGTAATTTGGTTTAATACTTTTAATCAAAGTGTTTCACTTGCTTCAAATTGAACTTACCTTTTTTTTTTAAAACAAAACCAAATTAAATAAACTGGAGGGAAAAAAAATCACATTTTAGAAGCAACTTATCTCCATTATACAAGATTTGGTTTCATTTTCCAGAAATGGTAAATAAGTATTTGACCTCTAATTCATTTTTATAAGGTTTCATGAAAAGAAACTTTCATTTTTTTCAATTCTACATAATATTATTCAAGAACCTCAAGAACAATACATATTCAGAAACAACATATTCAGTAGAATAGGTAAAGTTTAATAACTTTTGCACATTTTGTGGATAGTCCCTCAGTGGAACAAATCAAATTTTTGCAATTTTATTGTTAAGTAAGTTTATGAAAGAAAGAGGTGAAAAGTGTATGAAAGTGGCATGTCTGCCTCACTTCTAAATTTTCAGGTAAAACTAAATAAATAACAATAGTTTAAACTTTATATCCATTTAAACAAAATGAGCAAAATTAATTTTTACCATCTCCCACATTAATATTTCCAGATGAAGTGGCTTCTTTAGGTGATCCCATATCATCTTCATCACTTTCATCTTTGCTATCATCACTCTCATCCTCTTTCTGCTGTTCTTTCTCTAATTTTTGACGCTCTTGTTCCTCTAAACTTCCAAAATGGATAATTTTTGTTCTCTTAACATAGGAAAGCTCCTCGTCATCAGACATGATTGAACTCGTTGAAAATCTAAATGAAAACTGAATAATAAATAAAATTGTATGCGTTTAGACAAATAAAATACAAATATAAGCTATCCCTAATGACTATCAAGAGTTAACAGATCATAAACCGCACAGCATGACAAATAACACCTTGATCCAAAAAAAACATTGAATCCACAGCACTAGTTCTTCCACAGCACATATGCATTTCGTTGGTATACGGTATACTATTAACAGGGTGTATACTGACAACGAAACTGTTGTTTAGGAGCTAAAATTTTGTATCGCTCTACGGTTCTTTTCAGCAAAAAAACGGGTCCCAACTATTGTCTTGAGACTAAGATACAGTATAAGTCTGCGCTAAAAAAAAAGATTTGGTTTTAAAAAAATTAATGAAATACTGATAAAACTGTCATTTTATACCACTGCAATATTAGATTTCGATCTGGGATGTCACGAAATTGACGGCAACACTGGTTTGCAATTGAAAGAGTTGCCAAAAAAAAAATAAAAATAACTAGTACATACTGGTAAAAAATCAGCTCCAAAAAATTTTCTGAAATTCTTAAGAATATACAAACTTTACTTTTTGTAAAAGTTATTGTAACTGGAAGGATAAATAGATCAATAATTTGTTAGGGAAATTTTGGGCTGAAAAACTGTGTTCTGAAGAGATATTAGACTCTAAAAAAATTTTGCACCCTTGGCTTATTGTATTTAGTACATTGCACGACACAATGCCATCGACAATACAAGGTTGTTTTGTCATAAGAGATTGCAGGGCTACCATTTAAGTTTTTATTAGAATTAATTTTCCATTGCAAGCAGCAGAGGCATAAAGGAAAATTAATTTCATGGAAATATTAAAGATGCACAGTTATCTAATTATTTTGGTCATATTACATGCAGTACAAATTTGTTATGAGGTTTGGTAACAAAATCTTAATGAAAAGAACGAAACTGAATTTTTTGATTGAATTGCACAATAAGATTATATGTGACATAGATATTAAATTGCCTTATGACATCAGGGGTCTGTCCAGACATTTTGTGAAAGGTCCTGTTTTTTTGTAAAATTGTGAAAAAAACTATTTATAATTTGTGAATATAAAATAAGCGTTAAGTCACATTCTTTCAACCAGGGTAAAGCTTTTGTAAATTTGTGCAAATAGTGTTTTGTTATTCCAAAAATTGCTGAAAACCTTTTCAAGAAGTTTTTAAATTGTAAATAGATACAAGATTCTGTTCAACAAAATTGCTGCTACTAAATTAGAGATGCAACATACAAATATTTGGTACTTAGCCTATACTGCTCAACACAGAATATTCATTTCGGACGAATAATGTAAAGAAAATCACTCACATTTTTAATAATTTCAATTGACATATTTTAAATAACACAACTTAGTAATGTATCACTTTAAATGTGTAACTGACGGTAAAAATTAAATTGGATTTTGATTATTTTTCTTATTCAAAAGAGTTCAAAGTATAATAATATTATTTTTAACTTTTTAGAGAAAAAAAAAACATTTTTATTTTGAACTTTAAAATGCCTTATTTTAGCCTTTTGAAAATCATCAGGTCAATCAAATTGCTGAGTACAGAGCGCTCCATAGAGCACAGCTTGAGAACCCCTGTTTTATAGTGTATAGTTCTTATTTACATGTGCTTGCAAATTTTTCTCAACATAAAATTGCAAGCCCCATGTAAGTATATATGAATTCCAAATATAATTATTAAATTACTTTAATATTGCAGTTTAAAACTCTAGCTTTTTCATTTTTCTGATGGGATAAACCAAAATTAAATAATTTTTTAAAATAGAATTACAATTATAGAAAAAAAAAATTGTAAATAAAAATATGCAATAAAGATAATTCGAACGACATGTAATCAGATAAGTACTTTTAACATTTTCTTTTAGTGTATTAAATTTATAAAATGTACATTAAAAAAAAAAGAAAACTTTTAATTGCGAGAAATCATATTGTCACTAATACATCGACATGGTTAACTTATTCGGATTGATACTTCTTAATGATTAAATTGTACTAAGATACCAATTGAATAATGAAATGACGAAAAAAATATTTGTCGAAAATATTAATGAATTAAAAAGATAATTATCATTAATTACTTGAAATGATCAATAAAAGTGCAGTATACAAATACCGGTTTACATATAATTGTAAATAAACAACAAAACAGATTGTTAGTGTTTCAGATCTTTTAAATCTTTGAATCCGTTATTCTCGTTCTGTATTTTATTGTCCTGAAAATAAGAAGAAAAAAAGTCAACTATCGACGAAACTGATTGAACTGTAAACGCAGTATTCTATTTTGTGAACGACTCTATTTCTTCAATAATTTCCCACTTCATTTAACTGTCTTTTTAATAAATTAACCGTGCCATTTTATAGCACTCCTTGGTTTTAAAATAATTTTTAAAAAACTCTTAAAAAACTTTCCAAAATTATGATTCTCTTAATAATTGGTAAAATAAATCTTGTTATAACTATTTTAATAACTGCTACTTTAATGATTTTACAAATTAAAATGAACGAAATATGGCAGCAAGTTTGAGGCATATTAAATCTTTCCAACTTTTCAGTTCAATTCGTATATATGTAAACTGAGAGCTTTTGAATCGTTTACGAACTAAAACTTTTAAACACCTAATTTTGTTTGTTTTTATTGTGCTGGTAGCTATTCTGCGGTCCATTTGAAAAACTTATCCATAAATGAGAAAGTAATTAAATTAAGTAGTTTATTAAATTTTATATCTTTGATATTAATATTTATAAATGCATGATAATAATAACTGTTGTGAATATTAGTTTTTTTAATTTTGTCGCTTTATCTTTTTAGTATTAAAGATTTTTCATGATTTATTTTTTTTCCTGTAATAAACTATGATATTCTAATAAATAAGCATATTTAATTTGAATCTTAAAATGCATAACAATTTATTATTGTTCTATAGCTTTTATTTTATCGATAATGAACTTAGTTTTTGAATAATTTAAATTACTGTTTATAATTTGCAACAGAGATGCACAATCTTTTTCTGCAGGGAGCTAAAAAATGCCATGTTGGGAAGGTGTCTAACATATGAAAGGTAAAACTGTAATCTCCAAAATATAAAGTGTATTTAGATCTTAACTGAAAGCAACATGTGCTATTATACATAATAACTTATGAAATTTGTAGGAAGTTATATTTTCAAGTTTTATGAGCGTACATAAAACTTGAAGAACGAAATGGTTACAAACAAGCTTACTCTCATACTAAAACAATAAGTAAATAAAAAAGCAGGGTGACCAGTTAAAAAAAAAGAAAAAATTAAAACAATATTTACAGTTTGACTTTCGTCTGGAAGATGCCTTTTTTTCCCCCAAGACATTAGAAAAAGAGTGGAAGAAACTAAAAATGACAATTGTTTAAAGTTAACTGTAAAATGAATTTGGCCTTGAAACTTGGCTATGATGAAAATCCCCAAAAAGTATATTACAATCATTGAAATAACAGGAACTAATTTTTCACTCAGAAGTTATCTATTAGCAAATCTAAATACTGTAAAGCTATCAAAATACAAGGAAAAAAACAATAACATGTTACATTGTTGAAAATTTTAAAATAAATCCCCTATAATTGAAAATGCACTTTAAAATTATCATGAATTCTTTCATGATTTCCAGTTCAAATTTTAAAAACTTTGAAGTTTTCCAATTTTACTAGTTTTTTATAATTGCATTTAAAATTAAATTTTATTGTAATTTACAAATAATATATAATCATGTGTATGTGTATAATGAATCATCAGTTTAAGAATGAGTAATTTGTGAATAAAAATTTAGAGCTTAAATTCTTAGGGTTTTGCTGTTGCAAATATGCTTTACTTTTTTTCTACAATAAGCGTACATGTAAAGCATTGACAGAAGTAACAATTTAAACAACAAATTTCCTGAAAATTAAAACCTTTTCTAAGAAATTATATTAATTTTTTTTTCTTTCCAACTTTTACTTTATTTTTTAGATCGGATTTATTAAATGGCTTTGAAATTAATACTAATATTTGAACTATGTTATTATAAATTGTGTAAAATCTTCATTTACTATTTGATATTTCATTTTGTATAATAGTTTCTACTATTTGGGTTGGCAAAAAACTAATTTTACTGAGGCGACTTAGAAAAAGATTCTCATTCATTTTTTTCTTTTAGCTTTTAAAAATTTACTTTTACATAAAAATTTACTTTCTTAGTAAAATTTACTTTTACTTGTGTTTTTCATCAATTATTCCATATTAAATAGCCATTATTTGATTTTTCAGATGATGACTAGAAAGATTTTCCAGGAATTGCAACAATCAACAGTGAATGTCAGAGGATCAACTAAAATGAAAGAAGGAGAAAATGTATTTATAATGATTTCCATATACTACAACTATTACAATAATCCCTTATACCAGTGTTTCCCAAACTTATGACTTTTGTGTACCCTTTTTAAATTTTTCGAAACACTGTGTACCACTCATAAAATAATGAATGTATTTTTTACTATAAAAAAATTGCACGAAAGTTAAAAATCACGACCTGCTGTTGACACTATAACTGTTAACTCTGCAAAAAATACCCAATGGAAAAATACATAATCGTAAATTTTAAAAGCTAGCTTTGTTTTTAAATAAAAGTTCTTGAAATTTCCGTTTGTTTCAAGATATTTCGCATAAGAACACATACCCCCGTTAAACTGTTCCCATACCCCTGGGGGTACATGTACCACACTTTGGGAAACACTGCCTTACACAGCTAATAAATTTTCATTCCTAACTTGTTAATTTTAGCAAAAAAATAAATCAATAAAAACTGTTTTTAATTGTTTTATTAATTTGATTTGGGTTTGATAAAATACCTACTGTTAATGAATTTTGTTTTTGATTAATTGTATTTTTTTTAAAACTAAAATCTTGTATTTTGTACTAAAAAAAAGAAAATTAACCATAAAAATAGTTTTAGTCTTGAGATTTTTGAAGAGTGTCACCCCTAACCACTACATGTGTCCTTCACCCCCCTCCTCCTTAAAATGTTTATTTTTTTTTAAATATTTCAAAGAACTCATTTAATCTATCTTTAGTTTTTATTGCTTTTTCTTAATAATCTTAACTGCTTTTTAGCAAAATCATTCATAAGAGTAAAATTTTAAATTTTTTGGATTCTTAGCATTGTAGTCTTTTATCATCTTTGTAAAAAAATTAGCAAAAAAATAATCCTTTTTTTGTGAAAAATCACAAAAACTGGTGATTTGTACAAACTTATTTTAAAAGGCCTTATTTTTGTGAATTTGTGAAATTAAATAATTTTTTAATCTAAAATTGTGTTGGGGTTTTCTCTTCTACCAGAGTTCTGTTTTTGTGAATGTATAAAAATTAACCTTAGTAGATTGCAGATTTAGATTCTATATTACTGTTCCACTTAAAAATATTTTATTTTGCAGATCAACTCTGTGCCTACCAGTAATTTTCATTAAAACTTTTTTTATTTCTTAGTTTTAGTATGTAAACTATTGGGGTAAAAGTTTTTTTTTTTTTTTAAATATTTTTTCCTTTATGAATCTATTGATGTGTTAGAGTAATGCTGTTTGCCAACTACAGTTGTTCCTTAAACCTGAAAGTAGTTCATGTTTCCACAGTAGCAATTCAAATATTTTTTTACTTCCATGATGAAGTATAGTGCATCTCTCAGGAGAACTTCCTCCAGACACCCGTCTTGCGTCCTGGCGGAGCCTGCCAGGGCAACGAGCAAAAGCCACTTCAAATAGGGCTGTGGGGTGAATAGTTTTATCTTAATCATAGCGTAGGTCGTCGTGAGTAAACCAATCAACACCTTCTTTCCTCCATTTCACCCCCATTAGAAATGTGCTCTTGCTTGTTACCATAGCAGCAGACAGCCCCAAACTGTCAGTCTGGAGGAGTTCTCCTCAAAGCCGTACTATACCATGCTTATGATTCTATTTGTTTTGTTATTAGTTCTGTTTTGTAATACTATATCTTAAGTCAAATAAGTTAGTCAGATATTTAAAATTCAATTTCTCAGAAACTATTCGGCGGATTTTGCTCAATTTTAGTATTTTATCATGTAAAATTTTATTCTTTAAAATGATGCAAAAAATTGTATACCTTACTATTCAAATTTTTTTCAAAAATATTATTAAATAAAGTAATAAATATTTATTAAAGGTTATTTTTTGTATGGAATTATTTTTGGATAAGCAAATTTTATGATTGAGTGCAAATTTTTTTTCGTTCTCTTAAAAAGTTCTCAAGCTATAATGAAATACCACTCTCCTAACCAAGCTATTGGGGCCATATTTCCCAGATTGCAGCTACCCCCTATGTTTTGAGGTTCAGAAATCTGAATGCATTAAAAAAAGGTGTGTTTATTCAGAGAAAGTACGTTTTTGTATTTTATTTTGTAACTTAAAATATCATTTGCCGTTATTAATTAGCATATTTGTGGTCACCCTCTCGAGGCATTAAGATTGAGTCCTAGAGCGTGAAGATGTGATCATTAGATAAAAGTTATTCAAGATGGACCTTTTTTTTTGCACACTGTACATGTGTTATGCATAGCATATTACTGTTAATAAATAATACATGATAATTTTTAGATAATGACATGACAGTTTTTAGAGGAAAAAAGAGAAAAAATTCTTTTTCTTAATTATTTTGAAGTAGCACTTATATTTTTAGTTAAAATTTCTAAAGTTCGAAATCATTTTTAATGCTTACTCATCAATGTAAAAAATATTTATACTTGCTTCTTTGTATGTAGAATAATATTTACTAACTGTAACCATGCTTTATCTTTTTTTTTTATAGTTACTTTAATCCTCTTTATTTATTGTTAGATGAACAAGGAAGCTGTTGATACTAATGAAAATATTAAAAGTAAAAAGTTGAGCACTGTTCCTGCTAAGCATTCCAAGCGTAAAAATGTTGGAAGGGAAAATAAAACTAAAAAACTGCCCAAGGCAGTAACCAAGAAGGAAGCAGTATCTAAAGCTAAAGCTTGTACTCAGAAAGAGGATTTGCAAGCAACAGTGACGCTCAATCAGTCTAGGCTTGAAACTTACCTTTATTCTTGTGCTAGCACCAGTGATATATCAAATGATTCGGCTGCTCAAGATTTGGGTTAGTTATTTATACTATGTCCTCTATTTAAACATTTAGCAGTCTATGCAGTGAAACCTTGCTATCACCATTAGAACCAAAATAATTGTCCACTTAGGAGAAGGACTTGCTGATTGCAGACTTGCTAACTCTTTGTCTTTAAGCCTGAGAGTTGGTAAGTCTGATGATGCTGAATGTGTGTGATCACGCAAATAAGGTTCGGGAAATTTAGGCAGCCCAGAGGAAATTTTATGTGTAATTTAAAGAAAAAAGACTATAAAAAAGGAAAAAAATTGCTATAAAATTTTTATTGTAAAAAAAATTCACTTTGCAAGACTTTTCCTTGTAAAATAATAGACCAGAAAATTATCCTTGCAAGAAAGAAGAATGGGGACTGCCTTGATAGACAAGAGTAAAATAATTTTTTTTTTTTTTTTTTTTTTAAATTTGTTATATTAAATGTCACACAAATAAATAATTATATATCAATTTGTCTATTAATTTGAATTCCTTAAATTTGTGAGTAGTATCATAAATTCAAATATATTCAACACACAAGCTAGTTTATTCAAAAATAATGTAAAATTAAAAGAATTTTTTTTCTTGATTAAAAAAAAAAATATCAAAAAATTTTAACAATACAAAAACTAAATTTTATAAGAATATTTAACAAAAAAACAACTTATTGTTAAAAAAAAATGTGATTTAATTTACCAACCATAAAAGTTGAGAGAAATTAAAAAAAGAAAAGGAAAAAAATATGCTCTGGGAATTTTCTGCCTCCCTGGGACTGAATCTCGGGCTTTTGTGCCCAATCACATAAACTCGGGGCCCCCAAAGTATTTACATCTCTCAAAACTTTTCCTTATGTCAGTGAGTTCATAGTTCAAGCATATTTAGTTAATTATTAAAAAGTTTATGGAATATAATAATTTGAAATGTCTGATAAACCAAAAGATAAAAAACTGTTTTTTGCAAAGCATATACATTGCACTGCATTAAGAAAGCATATATCTTAGTTCATGCTAAAATAGCTGATTTTATTAATAATTCAATTGATTGAGTTCCAAGTTTTTTGCTAATAGTTATTTATTCTGTGTTTGTAAAATTATTGCAATTAAAAGATGACAAAGCTTGTTTCTTGATGTTGCAGAAACTATTTTGTGCTTTACATTACGAAGACATTACAGAACAAAAATTTTTAAATTTTTTGATAGGATCAATACAAAATGATGTAAAATCAGTAGCAAAAAAAAAAAAAAAAANAAATTAAAAAAAAAAAAAAAAAAAGTAATACTTACAGTGTGCTTAAGTTGAAGCTGGCAGTATTGACCAGGGAGAGAGTATTTAGCCATATAACAACAAATCAAACCTATTTCTGTTCTTTATCAAAACAAACTTCTAAAAATTGGTTGACTGGGAAAGCTAGCCAGAAAGAGTTTTGGAAAAAATTTCTGTATAATGTTTTTAAAAAATGATAAATCTAGCTGTTATCTCCATTCAATCTGTTTTTTTAAAAGAATTAATTTATTGGTTTGTATTTTTTAGGGGTAAAAAAGTTACTAATGTGAATTTACTTTAAAGAGTGTGATTTTTCTTCTTTCTATTTACTTATTGCACTATGTCGTGGTTGCAAAAAGTCTTGGGCTTTTTTAATTTCTACACCACTGTTAAAAAAATTGCACTAATAGATGCTTGTTTTGTAACCGTTTTAGTTATTAAGTTGGATGAGATGTTAAAATTGATTAATTTGTTTATATTTGACATATCAGTTTGCTGATGCATGAATGAAATTGAGTGGTAAAATTACAAACTTATCCAAAGATAGATCATGCTAGTTTTGAAATTCTGTTGGTATAGTTTAAAAATTAGCATTAAAATAACTAAAATAAAAATTTACTTATTTGCAAAGAAATTCATGAGATATAAAAGTGCTATGTGCTACACTTTCTAGGTATGTTTGGTTTCCTGTATACATACTGGATTTTTTTTTCTCCAGGTTGATAACTAAAGTAATTTCGATAAAAGCTAGCTGCTGTGAAATTTTTAAGATAGTATTTTGCACTTGTTCTACTTATCAGCAATGAATAAAATTTTTATATAATCTAATTAAGGATTTAACTATTCTGTGATCTTTTATGGTTAGTTTCATTTTAATGTCAGAAATAATTTTTTTGTTTGTTTTGAACTAGTTTAAAATAATAGCTACAATTTTCCAATACTATTTTCCGTTATCCTTGTTGAAATTTATGTAAGGCTAAATAAATTATTATTTACACCTGTTAGATTACCATAAATCCGCCACGGGCAGAGAGGAACTGGGGCTTGGATGCTGGTCAATAGTCTAAGCCAAATTAAATCTAATACCAGTTTTTCAGGACGATTCACTGATCCTAGATTTATATGTATATATATGTGTGTGTGTAATTTTCACTATGTTTTTTAATTGTACATTCAGTAGTTAATGGGTTTCAAGGCTTTTTATTTATTTATTTTTACTAAATCGATGGTCCTAACAACTAAAAAGGTTGAGAACTGTTGATTTACACAGTTATTGAAATTTGAAAAAACGAAATTAATTTTACAGATGTTTCATAGCTCTTATTTTTCAGGTAACTGCACTACTATGAATAAAAGCATTTCAGAGGACATTCAGCTCTTAACTTCTGGTAATATATTTTGTTTATTCTTATTTTTTTTTTTGTGGATGTCTGTTTCGCTTAATTTATTTTAGCAATCAAATATATTTTTTAGAAAAGCCAAGTCAAGCATATTGGCAGGAAATAGCTGAACAAAGAAGAATCGCTCATGAAAAAACTGTTTTAGAAAATGAGATGGTATGAAATGTTTTCAGCTTTTTATTTTATTTCTTTATTCATTTTTTGAGTATTTTCCTTCTTGTGTATCAGCTTTGGCATCTTTGTTTAAAAACAGAAAAACGCAAATGTAATTTTTTTTATTAGTAGAACATTATTTGAAAACCGTAATATGTTTTCGGTTTTTAAATAATGTTCTACTCAAGCAATGATTTTGATTGAAGCAATGAATGATGTGTATTTTGATTTAATTAAATTTAGCTGTTCAGCTTAGTAATAGTTCTGAACTGTTTACTAAAAAACAAAACAAAAAATGTCTTTAAATTTTTTTTTCCAGCCTAGTAATCTAGTTGATTTATTGATTTGTGTTTCAATTCAAATGTTTAAAGTGTGTGTGTTTTTAATCCATTTTAAAAACTTTTCTATTATATCTTTTACTAAGTGTTTGATTTTTTTTTTCTATTTCCACAAATCCAATTTTGTATTATTTTTAGCTTGCTACTGATTAATTATGAAATGTGTTTTTCTTTTCTTTCAGCATACTAATTTATTTTTATATCTTTCATATTGTTGAATCTATGCTTTATTTTTCTTCCAAATTACTATTTTTAATTATTTGTTTTTGCTTATTCTTACAAATTGTTTTGACTTATTTTTCTAAACTCTTTTATCTCAATTATTTTCAGCTGAATCGCCTTCAAAAATATGTTTTTATTTCTGGAAGCAGTTTAATTTATCGTTTTATAGCTTCTTAGTTTTTTTTTTTTTTTTTTGCACTTATTTATGAGCTTAAGCATTTTTTTTCCTGTGTCACCGAATGCTAAAAAATTTTACCTTTTTTATTTAAAATTATTAAAATAAAATAATTATTTTTTCTTGTTGGATTTTTAGCTTGCCGATGAAATCAATGTACTGCAAGCTGAGAACATGCAGCTTAAAAGTGCACTTGAAGCTGCCGAAATATTGCTTAAACATGTAAGTGTAGTATCAAATTTTGTTATACTACAGTGTAAGATTTTCAGTGTGGGCGCATGGAAAATAGTTATCTAGAAGGGCCCCCCAGTGCTGAGAGAAAATTTTGATTAAAAATCTATTCATAAAATACATCATTAACAATGTTTTCAGAAGAAATTAAATTCTCCCTCTTAAATCATCAACATTTCCCTCAAAAAAGGAGGAAGCATACAGAGGAGAGTAGGCGAGTTTTTAGCTCTCATTTATAATAAGATCACAAAGTTTTTGTGTAAAAATATTTTAAATAAATTTTTTTTTTGTTTTGAAAAACACCTTTTTTGTTACTCTAATTACTGTACTACCAAGTTGTGAAATTGTTTTAAGTAAGACATTCTAATAATAGAAAATCAATTTAAATTTAATGCATTATAATAATTTTTGTTATTGTTCCCATTCAAACAAAAGACAAAGTAAAATTTAAGTTCTAGTGTTAAAATACTCAGGGTTTGGAATTGTCCTGTTATTCCTGATAAAAAAAATTTCGTTATTTGTCCTAATATTTAACATTTTGTCCCGACATTCATATTTAAAATTGACCACAATCAAGTGGCTTTCTCTTACAAGGAGCCGTAAAAAACCTATTTCCACAGTATCTATCAAAAAAATGTACAGTATTGGTGTAGCTGTGAGAGGTACCAAATTTACTCAGGCAATACTTTTAAGAGTATATTTGGTACATATTAAAACTGCATCAATTTTCATAATGTCAGTAATGCCTACTGCCAAAATTAAGCATCGTGGGTTTCAATAATAATAGGCCGACTTTTTGCTATTCTCCATAACAAATAAGTACATTTTCACCATTAATTTTACTTTTTAGTATATAGCTTATTTCTTTTTATTTAAATTTGTACCTATTAGAACCAGAGTGGCTTAGGGAGTAGAGCGCTCGCCTCTTAATGAGGTGAATCTCGTTCGAATCCCAGTGGTGGCTAGTCGATCCAAAATCGCCTCCTGGCTGGCACCGACCACAGTGCTGACATAAAATATCCTCAGGGGTAGATGAATCATGGGTTAGAGTTCCCTTGTTGTAAGGCTAACTGTGGACGGTTTTCGTGGTTTTCCTCTCTGTGCAAAATGTGAGTTAGTTCCATCAAAGTCCTCCCTGACTGCAAATTTCTCCCAATACTTGATCCAAGAATTCGTCTTCTGGATTTGGTTAAAAATTACAAGGCTACGGAGTTGATCATTGGTAGACGTAAACCCTAAATTGGGTCGACTGTTCAAAAACGACGGTTATACAATTAGTACCTATTAGGTACTAATTGTTACTACAAAATTAGGTACTAATTGTTAGGTACAAAATTAGTGAAGCATCATTGACATCAATAATAGACTGACCACTTTTTACACTCTGTTAAACAAGTTAGTGCCATTTCTCAATTAATTCAGCCTTTTTGCTCATAACTTTTTATTTTACTTCAATTAGTGCCCATTACCAAAATTATCATTGGTGACAAGAATAATAGAGGTTTTTTTACGTTTGTCCTCAACGAATTAGTACTATTTCTCCATGAATTTTGCATTTAAATATAAGACTTGTTTTTTTTTTAATTATAATTACCATTGATTTTAAATTATTTATCTTTATAGTAACAAGTTTTAAAAACATAACTATAAACAAAATAAACTCATAGTTTCAGATAACTTGACAAATACTTCTTTGGTGTGGAAGTTCAATCATTCATAACAAATAAAAAATAATGAAGCATTATAGAACTCGCAATAAATAACATTTTTGATTTGAGCTATAAACTAGCAAACATTAATGATATTATCTTTTAAATATTTGACAAACTAGAATAGAGTCTAATTTAATTTAAAACAATGGCTTCTTCTAAACCAATGAGAAAATTCATTTCTTAATTGTCTCTGAATTTAAAAATCAAAAATCGAGCTTCGTCGTTTGTTTACAATTGTACTTATTTAACTTCATGTTGAATTTCGAATTCTTACAGTCTACCATTTACCTGCAATCCTGTATAAACACACCCACTAATTCTTCGTTTCATTGTATGTATACTCCTGTTTTCCTCATATATAAGACGCACTTGATTCTAAATCAAGCTTGACCTTGTAAAGGCAAATCCTGAAAATAGTGATGTGTATTAATAGATTAATTATTTTAAAATTGTAAAGTAGGGGTGCGCAATCATTTTCAGTAAAGGATCACTTGCACAGCAGGTTGACTAAGGGCTGCACGCATATTTAATCATGTTGGTGGCAAATATGATAATTTTTATTTCAAAATTGGTGCTCTGAACAATAAATATTTTCATGAGTAAACTTAGTAACATATTTTCCTAAAATTAAATGCTTTAATTACTAAAATTCATTCAATAAAAAAAACTAATATTTTTTTATTTTTCTTGCCTTTTTATTAATATATATATATTTGAGGAAAAGAGATACTATAAATTTTAACTAAATATTTTAAAGAAAATTTATAGGGTTTAAGCAAAAATTAAAACTTAATTATTATAGTACATATTATGATTCAATATTTTGAGAAGAGAAATTAAAAAGATTCTAAATTTTTACATTTAAAAAAAAAATTATTGTGTTCAGGAGCTCTCGTGGGCCGCACATTAACAGTCAGCAGGCCGCGTGTGGCCCTCGGGCGGCAAGTTGTGCACCCCTATTGTAAAGAGTATTTTGTTGTGTACATAATATCCCTAGCAACAATTTTACCTTGGACCCTGGTTGGACTCAATATAGGTCCTATAAGAACATTCATATTATGATTCAATATTTTGAGAAGAGAAATTAAAAAGATTCTAAATTTTTACATTTGAAAAAAAATTATTGTGTTCAGGAGTTCTCGTGGGCCGCACATCAACAGTCGGCAGGCCGCGTGTGGCCCTCGGGCGGCAAGTTGTGCACCCCTGTTGTAAAGAGTATTTTGTTGTGTACATAATATCCCTAGCAACAATTTTACCTTGGACCCTAGTAGGACTCAATATAGGTCCTATAAGAACATTCATATTATGATACAATATTTTGAGAAGAGAAATTGAAAAGATTCTAAATTTTTACTTTAAAAAAAAATTAATGTGTTTAGGAGCTCTCGTGGGCCGCACATCAACAGTCGGCAGGCTGCGTGTGGCCCTCGGGCGGCAAGTTGTGCACCCCTATTGTAAAAAGTATTTTGTTGTGTACATAATATCCCTAGCAACAATTTTACCTTGGACCCTAGTTGGACTCAATATAGGTCCTATAAGAACATTCACCGAGGGACCAATATTGAACTGTCTCTATTTTTTAATATTGGGCGAAAACAATTCAATATAGAGCCGATATTGGTTGAATAATGTAAATAAAATATTAGGTTAATCTAATAGTTCTATATAGAGTCAATATGGGCCCTTTTTTACCTTTATTGATGAGATTAAGATGAATGAATAGTGGTCCGATGAAGGCCTAAGTTATTTTGCTGCTAGAGATTGCTTGATGTTTTTCTATCTTATGCTTTGAAATGTATGGATGATTTATTTATTGTCTCTGATTTTTTGTCTCTTTTAGGCAGGACTGCTGGATGAGTGAAGACTTGAAGTTCCTTGATTTTCTTTCTGCGATTGCAATTAACGCGAAGCATGCACCGGTTGTATAAAATTTGTTGCCTCTCTCTCGGGACATCCGTTCATTTTTCTTCAACTCATTTTTTTCCCTATTGCCAGAACAGCTGATTTAAGCCACATTTCATAAATGTTGTATAACTCTTGGATATAGATTTTATTAAAAGTATTTTATTTAAGTCATAGTGTTTTTTAATTTTCTGATGTATCACATTTATAGTAATAAAAATAATAAGACCAGCTTCATTTTAGCTACACGCACCTTAATAAAAAGGGTCTGGTGCACTCACCCAACACCTGGTTGCCTGATCACTCATTTGCCTGAAAATCTAATTATTTGACACAGTAAATTTGTGCATCCGAAAGGTTATAAAAGCTCAAACTGTTAGACTAATCAAAATAATCATTATTAAAAATATAATGGAGAAAAATGGGTTACATAAATATAAATATTTTTATGATCAATTGAAAAAAAAAATTATGAAACTCAAACTTTCCTGGAATTATGTATAATCCTGGAAGGTCAGAGTTCTTCAAAAGGAAAAGCTGGGAAGTTAATAATCTACACACGATTACACTTTATTTCTCGCTTGTACAGTACTCAAAATAAAAAAGATATCTCACAGAATAACTTTTGTTCTAATGATCATATTTTTATAAACTAAGGGCAGATCATAATACTTAAAAGATAACTTTAAATATGCTAATTAATTGGTGCTAACTATTAAGTTGCAGAATCAAACTCAAAATCGTACTTTCTCTGAATAAAGATGAATTTTGTTCCGCGGATTTGGATTTTTGACTATTAAATCATCCTTAAATGTTAGTTTCACTTTTTATATTTCGCAATATTTCATGATTATATAAGCTAGGGAAGCACAATCTGTGTCCCCCTCCGACTGTTGGTGTGCTGCCCGCAAAAACTTCTGAGCACAAATTTTTTTTTGAAAATGGAAAAAAAAATTTGAATTGCACATTTGAGTCACCATTTTTTGATGCGCTCAATTTGCACAGATTACGTTGTAAATCTATCGTGTTTCTCGATTGCTTCAACGGTTCCGCACGGTTTGAAAAATTATATTTTTGATACGATATTTCGATGCGCGAATTTCGAATTTGAGTAATCACTTTTCGAGTCTCTTTGTTTTTGCCTATTCCCTTGTAAAATGACGTATCAATTCTTCTTTTTTTAGGGGGGAGGGGGATTATTAAATATTATTTTAGGGGGGATTTTAAAATCCGGATACATTTATTGTATTACTACTCGTGCGATGTTTTCTTATTTGATTTTGATTATTCCGTTACTTTAACTACGATGTTGTTACGACACTCTAGTTTCTAATCGCGAATTTAATAATTTTTTGATACTATTTATTTGTGCATATTTCATCATAAATATAACAGGGTGCGTAGCGTTTTTAAAAAGTGCTTATTTTCGTTTTTTGAAAGCCCTTAAAGGTGCATTTTTCCATGGATGTTTTTAAAAAGTGCTTGATTTTCCTTTTTCCGGAATGTAATATTTTTCTTTTGCCACGTTGATTTTCTTCACAAATTATGCAAAAAAACATTGTCCTATTCAACGTTTTCACAATTAATTCAACCCCAATCTATTTCGGCGTACTGCCGGTCTGTAGTGTATGAAAGCGCCATTTGTTTTACATGTTTGATGAAACACTCGCGGTCCGCACTTGCGTATACTGAGCTGGATTCAGTGGGAAGGATTTTTGACTCTCATGCTGCATTTTGCAAGAGATTCTCAATTTCAGACTTCATTTTCCGCCCTCTGTAATAAAATCGAAGAATCTCTCGAATTTTTGCTGATTACGGGACCAACTGAACAATGTGAATTTTTTTCCCTATTAGTGATAGAAAATTTCATTTCTCTTGATAATTTCATCGTTTGTGACGCGCCATCGTCTTCGTCACTGTAAATAAAGCCGGATAAGACCATCAATCGTCAAAAACTTGCCAACCCTGTATAATTTAGATATTTTTCAAAGTGCTTAAAAATATTTTTTGAGTGCTTGAAAAGTGCTTATTTTTTGTTGAAAAATTTGGCTACACGCCCTGTATAAATTTTTTTTTCCGCAGTTAGCGATAAGTATTTGTACATGGTATTTATTTAGGTTCCCAATATTTTAATGCATTGTTATTGCAACTTGAAAAATTCGAACACGGGAGGAAAACACCAATTTTTAAACTACTCACTGTTTATAATTTATTTTAACATTTTCGTTACTTAGGTGATTTTTTTTAAGGAAAAACTAAGAGAAAAGTGTTTTCTATTTAAAGTTCATAAAACTTCTAATAATTCAAGAAATAAAAATAATATCTTAAGTATAATGCCAAATAAATATTGAATCTTTTTTTGTACTATAATGGTTTTGGTTTTTATTTAAACCTCATAAACTTTCTTTCATTAAAATATGTAATTTTTTTACTCTTTCATTCTGAGATCATTAGATTTTATTTATTTGTTAGAATTTATGTTCCCCTCAATATATATATATATATAATAAAAAGGGGAAAATGTTATAAAAAAAAGAATCATGAATGAATTCTAATTATTAAAAGTATTTAATTTTCTGAAAATATATTACTAATTTTTTTGATTAAAAAAATTCAGCCCTTTGAACACTAACGTTTATATAAAAATATACAATATTTGCCAACAACATTATTAGATGCGTGCCTGGCTTTTCATCAGTCAACCTGCTATGCAAGTGTCCCTTCTCAAAAAGGTTGTGCACCCTTATTTTAAGTGAATTCAAAAATTTTTGCNAAAAAAAAAAAAAAAAAAAAAAAAAAAAAAAAAAAAAAAAAAAAAAAAAAAAACATTGTCCTATTCAACGTTTTCACAATTAATTCAACTCCAATCTATTTCGGCATACTGCCGGTCTGTAGTGTATGAAAGCGCCATTTGTTTTACATGTTTGATGAAATACTCGCGGTCCGCACTTGCGTATACTGAGCTGGATTCAGTGGGAAGGATTTTTGACTCTCATGCTGCATTTTGCAAGAGATTCTCAATTTCAGACTTCATTTTCCGCCCTCTGTAATAAAATCGAAGAATCTCTCGAATTTTTGCTGATTACGGGACCAACTAAACAGTGTCAATTTTTTTCCCTATTAGTGATAGAAAATTTCATTTCTCTTGTTAATTTCATCGTTTGTGACGCGCCATCGTCTTCGTCACTGTAAATAAAGCCGGATAAGACCATCAATTGTCAAAAACTTGCCAACCCTGTCTAATTTTGATATTTTTCAAAGTGCTTAAAAATATTTTTTGAGTGCTTAAAAAGTGCTTATTTTTTGTTGAAAAATTTAGCTACACGCCCAGTATAAGTTTTTTTTTTCGCAGTTAGCGATAAGTATTTGTACATGGTATTTATTTAGAATACCAATATTTTAATGCAGTGTTATTGCAACTTGAAAAATTCGAAAACTGGAGGAAAACGCGAATTTTTAAACTTCTCACTGTTTATAATTTATTTTAACATTTTCGTTACTTAGGTGATTTTCTTTTAAGGAAAAAACTAAAATAAAAGCGTTTCCTGTTTAAAATTCATAAAACTCCTAATAATTCAAGAAATAAAAATAATATCTGTAGTATAATGCCAAATAAATATTGAATCTTATTTTGTACTATAATGGTTTTGTTTCAATTTTTGGTTTTTGTTTAAACCTCATAAATTTTCGTTAATTAAAATATGTAATTTTTTTGCTCCTTCATTCTGTGGGCATTACATTTTATTTATTTATTTTCTTTGTTAGAATTTATGTTCCCCTCAATATATATATATGATAAAAAGGGGAAAATGTTATAAAAAAGTATCAATTTTGAATGAATTCTTATTATTAAAAGTATTTCATTTTTTGAAAATATATTACTAATTTTTTTGATTAAAATAACTCAGCGCTTAGAACACTAACGTTTATATAAAAAATATAATATTTGTCACCAACATTATTAAATATGTGCTTGGCTTTTTATTATTAAACCTGCTATGCAAGTGGCCATTCTCAAAAAAGTTGTGCACCCTTATTTTAAGCGAATACAAAATTTTTTGCATACAATTATAAATTTATTTTATTAAAAATAATTCCATTAAAAAAATTTAATAATTATTATTTTTTATTGTTACATTTAATGATGGTCATGTAAATTTTTACATAAGCTAGGCCTACAAACTGTTAAGATTAGTATTAAGCTTGTGAAAATCTGTTAATGGTTAACACAAGCTAGTTTCGAATGATATCTTTTTTTTAAAATTATTATTCTGCCCACTGTACTTCCTTGCCACAAGTATCCCAGTCGTATGGAAATTGTTCTACCTGGAAAAACTCACTGTCATTCCAGAAAATCCACGCTGTCAGACAAACGAACCTGTCTGAAAAACGCGTGTGCTAATGGCTGGATTCCAATATTCAATAACATTTGCTACCACTTTTTATCATTCAAGGAATTTATTTTTCTTAATGTCAGGATTTATTTTTGTTGTATTATGTACAATAAAGTTTAGATCAGTTATTACATAATATTTTTTTTCCTCAAACGGTCAAAAAATTTAGTTTCTCATAACAGAATAAATTATTTATCATGATTATTTACTTAAGCAGAAATCAGGATTTTCCTAGTGTCAGTAAATAAGAAACTAGAGTAAATAACGAAGCACATTTTACGATCATTGCACTGATAAAAATAATCTCATATCATAGCAAAAATAAGGCTATATGTCACACTGTTTCCTTCTCAATTTGTTAAAAATTATTTTTTTGAGGAAACATTTGATCCACTTAGTTGTGGTTTTGCTCAGTTACAGATGTTATACCTACGGTATCGATAGACATCAAGTACAGTGAAACGTGTGGTCTACTTCTCTAAAGTACACCTCTTTTTTTTTTATCAAGAACCGAATTTAATCTACTTAATAAAAGGCAGTGAAACCTGTCTATCTTATATGCTGACACTGACACATGTCAAATTCGTCTAAGAGTGATATTAAGTGGTATTTTAAAGCCTTCATAAGTTGATCGAAAAAAATTTCTTAGGAAATATTCTATGATATTTATATTTTTATTGAGTTGGTAAAATAATATTAAAAGTTACCCTGAACCCCTTTGTGAGTTCACAAAATTGCTTTTCAGAACTTCATATCCGGATGCTCTGAAACTACTTTTAAGCTGGCTGGCATGGCGTGATGTATTTAATGAATCTGTGCCATCAAATGCACCGCATAAACTATGCTCAAGTAGATACCCAGATAGCAACATGAGGTTTATTTTCACTCATCAAAAACCTTTAAATGTAAACCTAAAAAGGTTTGTAATGCGGTTTACGTGTAAACCTTCTGACCTTAAAACGAGATCTGTGACAATCTGCACTATTCTACGCACATTATCCTAATTCAAAAGCTTAGAAAACAACCTTCTAAGCAAAAACTTTAAACCAAGGTTGACTTAGGGTTTTCAAGCGTGAAAAAATCCTTTAATAAAGCTAGTCTCAAGGTGAAAATACTCTTAAACCTAGGTAATTACAAGGTTTCTTTTAGCGAAGTCTTGTATGCTCAGCTAAAATCCACCTTGTCATGAAATTTTAATGGACAATGCAATTTGATCCTATCGCTTGTGTGACGTCAGCTAAAACGTCATGATGGACCTAAGTGACCATACTTTTTAAAAAAGCTTTGAAAAATAATTTTTAATCCGTTTAGGATGAAAAGTTTGAAATTGCAATGTTTTTGCTTTGTTGAAAAAAATGTTTTTAGAACAAGCATTTTTGTGACAGTAAAAAGAAAATTCCCTCACAAGGCTGCCGTAAGGTTACATGCTTTATGGGTATTTTTGTTTAAAGTTTTCTTTTAAAAAAATGCAAATTATAAAGCTGATAATGTGTTACATTAAGTTAGTTGAATGTGACTTCTGTGGATAAAGTATCAATGGAGAATCCACTGAATGAATCAGTGTTATACATTACCATATGGATAGAAAAATTTGTCACATATTTGGAGAAACCACAAACATCACCATGGGGATCGGAAAGTCCATTATTTGAATGGGAGAATCCGTGATGTGAATAGGACATTACTGGAGAATGCTCTGGATGGCTCATGTTAATGTAGATTGGGAAATTTACAATCTGGATCAGGGATTTCATTATATGAATAGGACGGGATTTGGATAATCAACTAAGTGGATCAGTGTCTATGCCGACCGAAAAATCCTTAATTGAGATCAGAGAATCCAAAATGTGAATCAAAAATCGACATCGTGGATCAGATAATCCTCTGCTTTGACAAAGAGTGGGTCACCACGTACATGGAGAATCATCTGTGGCTCAGGTGACGTGCATCACAATTAAGATCAGAATAATCTAAAATAAGTGCCGCGATGGCTCGGAGACTAAAAGAGCCGAGCAGTCATTATGAAGGACTGGGGTTCGATCCTCAATAAAGGCAGCCCTCGCACCTTCTGATCGACGGATACAAGCTTCTCTGAAAAGTAAAGGCGGTCTTTGCGTAATACCGCCGCAATCATATCATTGGTCTTGACATTGTAGAGCCTTAACCTCCACGACAACCTGGCTTACAACGGGCTGTAGTGGGAATTCTTTACTTTTAATCCACAAGAAAGTTCTAAAATAAAATTATCTTTTGCTTACAGTTATCGGTGCTTTATAACTAAAATGCAAACAAGAAAAGGATTTTCACTTCTATATGTTTCATGTGTTAGAGCAAAATGATAAATGCACATCATATCTTGACTCGTTTTTCGTCCCGGAAATAAATTCGAAAAATTTACTCTCACAACATTTCCTCTCGAAAGAAAATAAAAGAGATGTGGTTTCGATATCCGGCATGACTGATAACAAATAAATGGCGCTCTTTTTACTTTCTATACGACAATTCTCTTCCATTCACTTAAGAGCTTTCAGAAATGGCACTTCGCATTAAAGTAAGTTAATTTTTGATTAACAATTGTTTTATGATATCCTTTTTACTACACGAATCAAAATATAAGTGTAAATAAATCTGTTGCGTAACCTTCCGCATTGTTTGATAAAAAAAAAATGCTCACTTCAAAATGCCGACACTTTTATCGGCCCTTCACGCTTTGGGTGCGCCTTTATTTATCTTCATTCTCCTATAGCGCTTAAACTTAAGTCAAGTTTTAATCCATGCAGGAAAAAAAAATACTCTATCCACAATTTTGCATTTACACAAATGCAATTCCATCACACTTTTAGCCTTGTATTTTCCCCATCTAAATAGTTTTTTACTAGTTTCAAAACAACATATTTATACTTGAAAAATAGCAATAATTAAAGGTCTTACGTTTTTTCGTTGTACACCGTAACCCGGCGTTGAATGAAGTACTGATAATAATGTAGAAAAAGTTCGATTTTTACCAAGGGTAGACTGTTTTGTCATTTTGATAGATGTTTATATGGGTATTATCTATCATTTTGTCATTAGAAAACATGATATGAGCCGTGGAATGTTTTTAAAAGCAACGTCCAATAAGATAAAATTTCAGCACTATAGTAGTATGAACGCAATATTCAATATTATATTTGACAAAGATGCGCAAATTTGATGGTGACAACTTGGCGGCAACTATTAGCAAGTTATTTCAAGTGAAATGTTTCAATGTCAAGTGTTTCATTGTACTTTGAACTCGGTTATTAAATAAAAAAAATATTTACACGCATCTAGTATTTACTTATAATTTTGGTTTTGGAGATATGAATACAACGTCGCAGAATTGGCAATGCTCGCAAATAAAAATAGTCTTACATAAAATAACTAGGAATAAAAAAAAGTTAACTTTAAAAACAAAATTTACTTTCTAATCTTAAGTAATATTCATTGCTAGTAATCTGATAATCTATCTAATGTTCATTGCTAGTGACCTGATAATCAATCTAACGTTCATTGCTAATCTGATAATCTATCGAATGTTCAATGCCAATGTTAATTGCTAGTAACGTGATAATCTATCTAATGTTCATTGTTAATCTGATAATCTATCTAATGTTTATTGCTAGTGACCAGATAATCTGTCTAATGTTCATTGCGAATCTGATTATCTATCCAATGTTTATAGCTACTCTAATAATCTATATATCTAATGTTCATTGCCAATCTGATAATCTATCTAATGTTTATTGCTAGTGACCTGATAATCTATCTAATGTTCATTGCGAATCTGATAATCTATCTAATGTTTATAGCTACTCTAAAAATCTATATATCTAATGTTCATTGCTAGTAATCTGATAATCTATCTAATATTCATTGCTAATCTGATAATCTATCCAATGTTCATTGCTAATCTGATAATCTATCTTATGTTACTCTTGATAGTATGGATCATTGTACCTTACTTTCCACATAAACATTTTCTCTCCTATAATACCAAAAACTATCGCATTAATTTTATATTTATTACTAAGCTTCGGATGTAATTATTACGCACCCACATATATTGTTGTTGTTTATTTTCCCATGATACTTTACTAAATAAATAAATATTTCCATTAAAATATAAGAAAGATTGAATAATATCAGTTTACAAGGAAAGTTAAAAAATTTACTAAACAATTATTTAAAAAAAGTTGTTTGCAGAAAGCAATGTAATTTCTCCAATCTCTATATCTCTTCTTTTATTTCCAGATGCGTCCACCGATATATGCCATCATTGTATTATTTATGATAGAAAACTTGATGCGAAGTAAGTACCTTATAATTCAAACATTTTTCCACCATTATCAAAATAATTAATAAAAACTAGTAAATAATTATAAAACATACATTTCTTACACAGAATTATCTTTAGATAAACAAATTTCCTAATTGTGTGCAAAAACTTTTAAATTCACTTTCAGAAATATGGCAAAATACTCATTAAAAAAAGGAAAATAATATTAAGGAATTCAAACTCTCGATCGCTCTCCTGGTCCAAACAATCGGGACAGATTTTTTTTCTCTCCATATTTCGGCTCCCCCCTTCCTATTTTGTTGGTCAAGAATCAGAATCCGTGTGTGTGTTTATTCAGAGAAAATATGTTTTGGGGTATAATTTTTTTTATACTTAAATTATCATGTGCACTAATTAATTAACATTATTGAAGTTAAGCTTTTGAATTATAAAAATTGAGACCCAGTACGTAAAATTCTAATTGTTTGGTTAAAGTTATTCAATGTACTCAATCTTCTTATTTGACTTACTTAAATAAAATTAAAATATAAACTAATTTAATATTTATTTCAAATCTAAATTTTCATTTTTTGCGATCCTTAAATATTTCTTATTGTATTAGAGGGACCGGAAAGTAATGTTGTTTCGGTGCATTTGATATTTTTTGTTATCAAGATTTTATTTTTATTCAATAATTTATTCACCCTCTTTAGCAACAACCTTTCAATGTCGGATCGAAAATGAATCGAAATGGATCGAAAAAAAATGAATTGGTTTTTAAGACTAACGAATATTTAATGCGTCGAAGCGACATTACTTTCCGGTCCCCCTAATGTTATAAAGTAGATTAATCAAACTCAATTTTAGAGCTATATAAATCTCATTTTATTTCATATTTGATTTGATTTTATGTTGTTTTTTTTTTAGTTTCATTTCTGCAGTATTAAATGAAAAAAAAAGACTAAATCAAATTTTTTTTTATTTAGAATTGTAGAAATCATTTTTCCAAATCGTTTGATATTAGGATTTATAGTACGTTTTCTTTTTTATCTAACTTAACACATGATTATAGAGAAATTTTTTTAAGGAATTCAAAATAGAATATGTTCTAGCAATAAGAAATATTATTTGAAATTTATTTGAAAAACATCATGTCAGATTTTGACGCGTAAAGCACCCAGTCTAAAAATTGTCTTTCATTTTTTCCTTAAATTAGGTCTACTTCATAGAATAAAAGATTTATTTTTAAATTAACGGATGCAACTTCCAAATTTTTGTTGCAAAATATAAGTTACTTTTCTGAAAAACAATCCAAGCATAATAGAGTTTTCCATCTCCTTCAAAATTCATATTGCCCATAATTAACTTTTCAAATCGCCTCCTTCAAAATTCCTGTTGATCATAATTAATTTTAAAAACGTCTCCTTCAAAATTTATATTGCCCATAATTAATTTGTCAAATCATCTCCTTCAAAATTCACATTGGCATTATTTAGTATTTTTATGCTATAATCTGTGGTATAATTACGTCTCCCTTAAAATTTATATTGCCGATAATTAATTTGTCAAATCGTCTCCTTCAAAATTCACATTGGCATTAATTAGTATTTTCATGCTATAATCTGTGGTATAATTATGACTACAGAAAATTGCATAGCTATGTAAGTAGTTTATTATTTGTTGAATGATTACATTAAAACGAGATTATTATTAAAATATTATTAATTTATTCCTAATAAGCTCGGTAAAACAAATAATTTATAAGGCTAAAACAATTAAGGCAGTGTTTATGGTTTAGCATTGAAGTTTTTTTTAAAGTAATTTCAGATTTTTAAATCTAGATTTTTGATCTTTTTAATTTTAGCTGTGAGTCTCAAATCGAAAATCCTAAAAAATAATTGACAACAATCGATTCAAGAAAAATAGATGATTTACAACGTTCTGCTTTAGAAAATAATTTTTTTTAAACCTAGTTTCTGAATTCGTAATAAATCATTTGAAAATGGCGCTTCTAACTGGGAAAAACTATAAAACAATGTTTTAAAAATGAACACTAGTTTGCAATAACAATGTGGTCTGATGATTGAACTGAAAGACGCACTTGCAAATATTTCAATTGTAGTAGTCTGACACGCAACAGAAAACATTATTTGAGTGCTTTTATTAACGACAGAGTCAACTGGTAACGATATTGGTAATTATTTTTTAAATTTAATGGGAGAATTAACTCATTTCTTAAGCAGAACTCAGCAAACCATAAATTTCCATCTCTTTTCGTTTTTCTCTCGGTGGATTTTTTCAAATCGTCAGTCATTTTTGGAATACCCTCTGATAAAATGATCCAAATAAAGGTTAACTTTCATTTTTAGGTAAGAAAAATTCATTTTCTAATAGTATTTTAATTTTGTTTCAGGCGCAGTCGCCAATGATCATCTTTGCGGGAAGGAAACCTGTGCGCAGTGTATAGCAGAGAGTCCGTTGTGCGCATGGTGTTCACAAGAAGTATGTTTAGATATAATCAATTCAGAAATTTAAAAAGTGACTCAATTGAAGGCAAACATTAGCAAGTTTCTTTTTCACGTAGAAATTTTAGGTCTTCTGTGCTATTTAAGACAAATATAACGAGCATTTCGTGTTTGATTTTTTAAATGTGTACACAGCTCAAAATACGTATTTATTCTAGTTATTCAAGGTGTTTCGTTTATTTCTCGCAGTGTTCATGTCTACGTAAAAGTCAATATACACTTCCTCATCTGAATTGCAAATATACTGTTGAAAAAAATGTTGTTGAACTTGCACACTTTTTTAAAAAAACCAATTACACTGTCATTTCCCCTTATACTGTCATTTTATGAACAATATCATTATCTGAATTTAAATTATCTTAGCGTAATCTTTGATGTTTACACTTTTTGTTATTAAAAATAATTTTTTTCACTGAATCTTTTGCTGTTCGATTGAAAGACATTAAAAAATATTTTAAAAGCATTCGTAATAAACGTGTTGGGTTATTTTCGTTAATAGTCTTTAGTGACGCTGAATTCTATACTCCGTATCAAGTTAAAAAAAAAGACTATTACGGTTTGGAAATTAAGTATTGCGGTATAAGTATTAAGTATAATCATCAACGACCTTTTTATTTCGTTAACAACTTATACGAATAGGCTTTTAAAAACAATATAAAAGATTTTTGAAGTTAAACACGCCAGACAGAAATTTGATTTGTGCTATCTTTTACACAAGGAATTATTAGAAAAAGGTTGCAATTTCGTACTCATACTGGAATCCTAGACTTTTCGGCATATTTCGATAAATAAGGAGAATATTCGCTCTTGAAAAAAAAATTATATGACGTTTAAGGAGCATTGAATTTGATTAGACCACTAAAAATGGCGCGTCTAATACTGACATGCCCTTAACAAATCAATGGGATAACTGCAAGTGACGTAGTGTGGCATCTCGATCCTAATTGGTTGTTGAAACGTGGCATTTGTTTATGTTAGCAACTGTTCTTTCCATTCTATTTCTGGTTAGCCAAGCCCGTCAAGTATCGATTCTCTTATGTGACACATTCTAACTTTTTTCACAAATATTATTTCTCAAAGATTCCAATTCTTTCACTATATATTTACACAGAGACTTAACACAAAGACAGGCACGAAGCCATGTAGAACATAAACAAACGAATTATGCATCGAAGTTGCCAGGTATACAAAACAAAATTATATCAATAAAATGCATAAACAAGTAATAAATCTACGTTAAGTAAAAAAAGTAGACGAGAAAGAATTATATTTCAACTAATTCGATGTGCGATATGGCTGCGCATTTAATTAAATTATCGTTAATTAACATTCTAACTTATGTGGAGAAACTTAGCTCAACTTTAATACGCCATTTTGCTGATAAAAATTAGCTGGTGCTGACGTCATAGATCACATATATGGGTTTTGGAGTTCTTCTTGAAGTACAAGTACTCACTTGAGATACAGTATTTTTTAAAATTTTGTTTCGGTCTCGAAGAAAATCGTCTGCAAAAAGCAATATTTGTTATTCTTTCGTAAATGTTTTAAATCAGAGTTGGCGAGTCATATTTTAGATTTTTCTATTATTCGCGTTTTGGAGCTTGGCATCAATTTGGCGTGTATTTATGTGTAAACGGGATCTCTCAACAGGGATATTGGGTTTTTCTTAACTTGTAACAGAATTTAGTAAAAGTTTGTTCATCTTACACTTTTTCACATTAAACAAAGAAACTTCAGCACTTGTTTTTTTAAATAGCACTGAGAGAGATATGAGAAGTGTTTTATTTTTCATTACATCATTCTTTTCAACAATTACGTTTTAAACTGCCTAAGTACTTACATTTTTTTTATTTGCCACTGTCGTCTTGGCAGGTATTGCTCCACAACAAATTCTTGAATTGGCTAAATATCAACTTCACACTTTACAAAACAGCATGTGATGTCAGATGTCAGACGAGCCCTAGACAGAAAAGCCACTTCAACACAATCTTATCAGCTGTGTCCTTGAAGATCTGACCTACCTGAATCATTATTATTTATTAGGTTTTTCTATTATTAAAAGTTTAAAAATATTCCCCAAAAATATCTAAATTAATCAATGAATATGAATTTCAATAACAGAAATTTGTTACAGAGCTTCCTATTAAAATAAATAAACCACGAATGAAATTATTTTTACTGAATTTTTTTAATGAACTCGCTTACAGTTAGGTGGGAACTTGCAATCAAAATTTCGACCACTTTCCGACAAGAAAAAGCGTTAAATTTTCCACTTTAGCTCTCGGCCAAACACGAGTTTTATTGTTTTCTATTCGCTGAATCTAATCCGAATTTCAAGCAAAATTTATCGCGAAATTAGCTTCGAGAGATTTCAACTTAGCTAGAGTACTTATATTTTAATCGGAACTCAGTGTAGTGTGAAAATAGAGGCTTCAACTATTTATAGCATCCCACGAGCAGTTGGATGTTGCTCTGTGTTTCTTTATTTTACCATCAAGCTTTTGACGCAGAATGTTCATTAAACATATTTTCATAGTTTTTAATCGTATTTTGTATTAATTTAGCTCGAAATATATCAAAGATATTATCTTTAGCATTTTAATAATTTGTTGTTATGAAATACAGCATGAAACATCTGTGTCTTTTTCTGCATTTAGGGTAAAATCTTCCAAATAATAATTTTTCAAATTTGTTTTCATTTACAGTTATTCAGATCTAAAATAAACAGATATTCATCGTTAAATTTCTTTAATTTACAAAATCAATTAATGAAAATTTTTGAATATAAATGGAAAAAAAAAATTTCCAAACTACAAATATAATTCCGACAATCCAGCAGATTTGTTTAGTAAATATTAGGCTGTTTTTTACAATTAGAAAACACCAAAACTTTTGCTTGCAATTAGAACGTCAGAAAAACGAAATAGAAAAGGGACATCGATGTCTCATCTGCGTCAAAGGGTTTAGGGAAAATTAAATTCGTCTTTAACCATTTACTGAGTGGTTAAATTAATTTGCTTGCTTGTGAAGATGTTTGTTAAATTTATTTCAGGGTTACTCAAAATCTGGAGCCAGAAGATGTGATATCTTAGAAAATCTGAAGAAGAAATGTAATCCTGATAGTATATTTTTACCGAAGGAAACAATAGATATTATCACGGTAACTCAATGACATTTGTAATATGATACTGATAGCATATTTTCACCAAGGGAAGCATTAGATTCAATTATGGTAACTCAATGACATTTGTAATATGATACTGATAGCATATTTTTCACCAAGGGAAGCATTAGATTCTATTATGGTAACTCAATAGCATTTATAATATGATACTGATAACACATTTTCAGCAATAGACCGTATCATGGTAACTAAATGAGTTTTGTATAGTTATCCTGATAACATATTTTCATCAAGAGAAACAATAGATCATATAACGATAATTCAATAAGATTTGTAATATAATATTGATAACTTATTTTCACCAAGGGAAACAATAGATCATATAACGGTAATTCAATGAGATTTGTAATTTGTATAATATTGCTAACTTATTTTCACCAAGGGAAACAATAAATCCTATCACGGTAACTCAATGAGTTTTGTAATGTAATCCTGATAACATATTTTCATCAAGGGAAACAATACATCGTTTCCCAGTACCTCAACGATTTTGTATTGTAAACCTGATAACATATATTTTAACCATGAGAAACAGTAAATCCTATCACGGTAACTCAATGAGTTTTATAATGTAATCCTGATAACATATTTTCATCAAGGGAAACAACAGATCGTATCACGAAAATTTAATGAGATTTGTAATATAATATTGATAATTGATAACTTATTTTCACCAAGGGAAACAATAGATTCTATTATGGTAACTCAAATAGCATTTGTAATATTATACTGATAAGCCGACCGGTGTGTAGGGGGCAGGGAACTGTCCTTACGTCAGAAAGGTTCTGGGTTTGAATCCCGGGGAAGGCATGGATGTTCTTTCCTTCTCTCTACTATCTATCCTCACTGGGGGAGCAACGTTGGCCCACCTAATATGGTGCCCCTGAAAGAGAGGCCAACAAAATCGCCCTGTATATGCCTGAATTGACGAATGTTAACACAGGTGGACATTGGAAGAAAAAAAATATTATACTGATAACATATTGTCAGCAAGGGAAACAATAGATTCAGTAACGTACCACAATGTTTTTTGCTACGTTGCTTTCTGATACGTTTAAAATAATTATCCCATCATGAATGATTTTTAATCGACTTTCAAAAAGTACAAATTTAGATTTATAATATTAAAAAAAAGCAGTCATTAGCTTTTAACATAACTTTATTTGCTTTTAACAAAGTATAATATTTTTATTCTTATTTCATTGCAGGGCTCTAAGATTTATATATTATCAAATATGAAAATTAATCTTACAAGTTACTTTATTTTGTGCAGGATATGAGTTTGAGTGATAAAGGAGCAAAAGAAAGCGAAGCTATACAGATAAAGCCGCAAGAAATAACAATAAAACTCAGACCAAGTAAGCAACATAATTTGTTTACAACTAAATATCGTATTATTCTGTTGCGTTTATATTTTCATGATATTTATAAACTATCGACTAACTAGAATTTTAATAAAATTCATGATTTCTTTTCTGTGATAGCAAGTTTGATTTTAACAATATTTATACGGGGCGTTTCCTGCTTTTATTTTTACATAATAATATTTTTACTTAATTCAATAAGTTTAGGTATTGCTCATATCTTAAGTATTATAGTGGAAATCACGTTTGCATTGCTTTTGCGGAAAAATACGTCATTTTTAAATAACTTATCAATTAGATAAAAACAAATCAAGCTCTATGTTATCGTTAATTGACTAATAAAAAGGGTAAAATGTATTTCGACAATGTAAAATACATAATTTTACACTATTACATTACATTTATTATCATTACTGAGTTTTAGGACACACCAGAAAATACTTATTACTCATTTTTACTCCATGTGCAACAATGTAAATTACACAAATTTACATTGTTACATATATAGTGAAACTTATTAATTAATTGTGAAGTTTATTAATTAATTATTGTGAAATTTATAAATCAACCTATTTATTAATGAACCACATATTTGTTTATGAAAAACTTATGGCTGAACTTTACAAATGCGTTGGGAACCATTGCCAAGGAAGTTTGAAAAACCTGAACTACTCAAATGTGAAATACGTTTATTTTATTTTATAACCGGGGTTGAACCGTCGACCCGATTTCGGGTTAAGGGCTATAAATATTCAACTCCATAGCTTTGTAGTTTTGAACCTGTCCCAGAAGAGAAAGAAACTCCTTGACCAAGCATTGGAACAAATTATAGTCTTCGTGAGGCACTCTTTGATGGAACTAACCCATATTTGTATTTCATGGTGAAATCAGACTGGTTAGCCAGACGGCTAGGAAATTCTAATCCATGACCCGTCTACATGAGCATTGTGGTCGTTGCGAGCCTGATGCCGAATTCGAATCGAACGAAACTCACTGGGATTCGAACCTAGGTGACCTTATTTGGAGTCGAATATTCTATCTAATAAGCCACAGCTTGCAAAATAAATTAAATTAACGTAATATTGCTATAAAAATTTAATGTGATTTTCATTTGTTTGTTTATTAGATTCTGCACAGAAATTTAAGTTAGAATTTCGTCAGGCAGTGGATTATCCGGTAGATTTGTACTACTTGATGGATCTCTCCAACTCGATGGCAGACGACAAAGAAAAACTGGCTGAGCTGGGAAATAAATTGGCACGCGAAATGGAAACAATTACAACAAATTTCAGACTTGGGTTCGGATCATTTGTTGACAAAACTGTTGCACCATTCGTCAATTCTCACCCTGATAAGTATGAACAAACACAAACTCACATATACACTTAATTAATACATTTCAACGATAGAAAATGTGGACTTACAAATTCGGAAAGAGTAATTTTAAAACAGTTAGTTCTAGGTTTAATACATGTTAAGCTACTGAAATGATTAAAAAAAAGTAAAAGAAAGTCATCTGCTCTTTTTTTTATATAACTTTTAAATAGTAGTCATCCATTGTAACAGATTAACATTTTTGGGTCATGCTAAGAAAAATTCGGAAGGTTACCCCATTAATATCCTGATGCTCACAAAACCTAACGGATATTGAGCTAAAGGAAAGTCACCGGCTAGATGTTTGAGTGACATCGAAAAAGATATCTAAAAATTCAATATTAGAGAGGTATCGCTACAGATAGAACACGTTTGAAGGAGAGCGTGGTTGGGACTGACAAGGCCTACAAGTGGTTGTTGTGCATGTAAAGAAGATGATTCTTAGTTTGTGCTCAATCATTACTGACCTTCTTACTTATGCTACTTGGTTGTTAAAATACTTTGCAAAATTTATCTTTTTTCTTTTGCCGTATAAAGAATGCCCCATTAGTAGTTCGCACCAAAAAGGAACAATGATCATTAGTTTCAATTCATTCGCTTTTCGATTTTCTGGGGCTATCCCCTCATTTAAAAGTTTGATCAAAATTTCTCGACTCCTGAGAGGATTAATGCTAATCCAAATTCGCCAAAATATCGTTTACATCTTTCATCCACTCAACTCTTCAATCTTTACTATGGATGGTGTTTTCAGTAGAAATGTAAACAATAACAATCTCGAGATGTATGCCTGCTCTAGTTCCGGTTAGAAAGTTTGTAGCTGCTTACTACATGTTATTCTGCGAGGCGATATTTTCAAACGGATAATTTTGTTTTCAATAAAAAGAAATAAATTAGATAATTTCTAAACTCAAATCTGCCGTATTTCATAAGATATTAATGTTATTATGTAATTCTGGTGAGTTTGAAGTGAAAATTTGCTTTAGTTATTTAGAGATGCATTGTTAAAAAGGTGACATGGTTGCTATATTTTGAATAACTCGCTTTTTTGGCAGTCTTGATGTGGCCTCTTTCCATAAGTTCATTACTGTTTGTTCGTGTTGCAGGCTGTGCACCATCTTACGTTAGTGTTAACACTTTTAGCATTGTAAACACAAGTAATAAGTAATCAAATACATTGTTCGTAAGAATCTCAGAGAGGTATCATCATTGTTCGCAATGATGCCAAATGGCTTTAAAACACAACGGAAACAGTAACCCGGAAATTTAGGCGGTACCGAGCTTGCAGCGTTCCCTAGTGTAGAAAACACCGTCCATCAAATGTGATTCTAAATGTGTAGAAAATAATTGATTCCTTTTAGACAAATTTTTAAAAAAATAAAAATTATGCTCCGGATGGTGCACCATGTATTAAACTCACTAAGGCTTCTCTGTGTGATTTAGATTGAAAGAGCCTTGTACAGGATGTGCAGCTCCCTATGGTTTTAAAAACAATATGCCTCTGAGTTCCAAGACGCGTGAGTTTGCCAAAAACGTGCATCAAGCTCCCGTATCTGGAAATCTTGATGCACCAGAAGGAGGGTTGGATGCTCTGATGCAAGCAATAGTTTGCGAAGTAAGTCATACCTGTTTCTTTTATTCCTTCCAAAGACAAGTTCATAGATCTTTAATTTTTGATTTTAAAAAAAAATCATTAAAATGATTTGCTTTTAAAATATACGTAGCATTTCTCTTGTACCCGAAGATATTTCTATCTGGNTATTCATATATCTAATAATAAGCATCTGAGATATTAAGAATTAGTTTTTAAATGTTGAATTTTTACATCACATACGAAACAAAAACAATGTCTGTAAACTTTGCAGAATGAAAGTTGCAGTTGCTAGCTTAGGATAGATAAGACAAACAGAGCTACAAGCAGAGTGTATCTCTAACAGCAATAAAACTCATTTAATTTCCTTCGATTGGTGTCTGCTAAACTATTTCAAAACTATGGCTTTTATTGCTTTCATATATAGAATTCTATCTTACAATTAATTATTAATCATGTATTTTTATTGCAAATTGATATTGACATGCGCAATTGTAAATTGCGATGAGAATTATTTTTGTATTTTGTTTTAAAACGACAAGAATTATTTTTGCAAAAATTTTCATAACAAATTTAAATACATAAAAATATGAATTATTTTACTAAGGGGCTGGTGAAAAGAAATCTGAATAAAAAGAATTTGTTTTTAAATTCCAGTTTCTTATTACTTTCGGTTGAAACATTTGTAAAAAGCTTTTACACATTGTACATAACTTGACGAAGTCATACTTAGTATATAACGAACACACAAGCTTATTTAAGCAACAAGCCTATTACACTAAGCACACAAGGCACAATGAAGAATTGTAGACTGTCTATTAGATATAAAAAAAAATAAGAAAAACATGATTACATTTCACATTTTCAAGAACAATAAAAAAAAAGACAGTTGAGAAATAAAAGTTTTACAAGAATCTATTTTTAAATAAAATTGTGAAACATAAACATTAAAGCAAGTATGAATTTTTCATTCAAAACAAGAACTGCTTATAAAAAATACAAGAGCGATGTGAAGATAGAAGTGAATAAGAAAAACATTTATAAATAAAACAGAATAGCACAATCATTTTTCTACTCAATCAACGAAATAGGGTTGCACGCTGTTGTAAGATGTGACGTAAGGATTGGGCGGGTTACCATATTCTCAATTTTTCGGTTTTCAGAAAGCTTATTCTAGACCGCGCCAAGCGGTGCCAAAACCGTGAGCATTTCCGTGAGTGCGAACGGACTGTTCGACGCACATTGCGCCGTATAGGGTATGGAAGCAGACGACTGAAGGGGTGGTCATAATAATTTGGCCACTCAGTGTATATTTTTAGAATTCTTGTCAAATATGAAGTCAGGAATGTTTAAACATTAGGGGTCTCAAATTCATTTTTAAGGATCATCAAATCGAACTTCGATTAAATGAGATTTTTTCCGAATAAAAGTATTAGGAATCGTATATTTTGATTAGCTGTAAAGTTTCATAACTACGATAATTAAAGCTCGAGTAACAGGCCTATGACAAAACATTGAACAACATACAAGTTTTTATCTTGCTTGTGTTTTGTAATGTTTTGATTTTTTTTTATGCTTTGTGTTGCGATGTGTATCATAATAACTGAAAAAGTTTTTTTTTTTATCGAAGAGTCTTCAAATTTTGTGTATACGCCTTCCTCACAATTTTTAGATTAGTCTAAAATCTTTTTTAGTACGTTCGTAATATTTTTGTTTCAGTAGATTTTTTAAAAAAACAAAGTGCATTTTTCTCGAAATATAAATATAATTCTAATGAAGAAGTCATTACTTTTAGTTATTTTAATTTTAAGAAAAAATTCTTTTCGTCTATTTTATAGCAAAGTACTTGCAAGCGTAGTGATAAAAAAAATTCTCAATAACTTAATAATAATTCATTCAAACTTAATAATAGAATTCTCAATAACCATTCTCAACAACAATTTAAAAGTTTTGCTACTGAGTGTGTTATAAAAACGATATTTCTTAATATGTTTTTTTCTCAAAATGTCGAAAAAGGAAAAACAAAAATTCAGAGAAATTACAGCAAAAATAAACTTTTAATGCTGCAACTCGCCAAAAAAAAAATCGAAACTTTAATAATTTTCTATAAAGTTGTTGAGGGTGTCTAGATGCCTTAAGCAAAGAATAATCAAAATTCTATATTTGAATTTCATTTATCACTATTGAGGAAGGCGATACTCAAAACATTACAAAACTGTTTGATTGCCAGGAGAAATGGAAAAAAGAGGAAGAGCGATCATTAGAAACACCCTTCACTCTTTGCCATTGTATTTTATTGATTCTACTCAATGAGAATTGATATCTAAGAGCAGCCAGATGATCACAAAGGATTGAGGATCATCAGACTTTTTTTTCTTTGTATATATATATATATATATATATATATATATATCAGTAAAAAAATCTCCCAATTCATTACTTAATGTCCGCGTAAGACTATGTACCTTGCTAATTAATTGCCCACAATCAAATGCTCTTCATTTTGTTTTGATTTACAAGGAATATAGATAAAATAATTCATAATTTATGTAAATATTTAAACATTGCTGCCTTTATGAATGTTTTTTTTAAGAAAACAATCATATTTTGCGTTACACGTAAAGGGAAACCACGAAAATATCTTTCAGATTGCTTGACGCTTAAGGAGTTCCAGCGAAATGCTCAGTAATCGTAATGAATTTTTTTTATATAATAAATAATTTTTTTAGCGTCTTTGACAGACAGTCAATTATTTCGGTGAATATAGCGAGATGCTCTTCATATTTTTTGTAATTTTTAACTCATTCCAAAAATCAAAGTAACGTGCAATTTAAATATCGGCGTAAAACAATGTTTATAAAAGTTATAAAAATAATTTATTTTAACCAAGATTAAGTTGAAATTAAAGTAATAAAATTTTGCGTTACACGCAAAGGAAAACCTAGAAAATGTTTTTCAGATTGCTTGGCGGTAATAGGATTTCAACTAAATGTTCATCTTTATCTCAATGAAATTATTTTTTTATAAGCAGCCATTTTTTATTATTAATCAGGCCTAGCCGTTGTGGTTCAGAAGATCAGGAGTCTCCTTGAAGTCAGGCTAACCGTGGGATGTTTTCCTCAAAATGTAACGTAAATGCGGGCTAGTTCCATCAAGAAGTCCAATATGGAGGCAAATTTCTCTCAATACTTTATAAAGGACTCTCCCTGTCTTTTGGATATGATTTAAAATTGAATTTACGGAGTTAAACATGAGTAGGCGTAAGCACATAATTAGGTCGGCTGTTCGACGACGGTTATAAAATTATGAAA